TGAAACCCGAAAGCTGCCAGCTCAAGGCCAGGCACACCGGCTTTTCTACTGCGTAGGGCTTGTTCTCCGGCCTCAGATCAGTCTCCAGAGCTTAGGGCATCTCGGGTTTGAGGTAGCTCAAACTCAAGATGGCATTTAATATGGGCTCAGATAAGCTTGAAGGAGTGGTGGGGCCAAATGCTGTGCAACTTGCTGTCCCCGAGGCCCGATGACCCTGACCAAATGGCTTCAAAACTTGTGTCGAGAAGTTTAAACCGTAAGCGCAAGTCAAGCACGTATACACACACAGAGATCAGGAGACTGGGACCTGCACTCAAGGCTTCTAGGCGCAACTTCTGATACTTGGGGCGCAAAGGGTGCTTGGGATACTGGGACCTGACAATGGAAGGGACATCAAGATTCGAGCATGCACCTCGGAGCTCGCCGCTTGAGGGATAGGTGATGTCAGAAGCACTGCCAAGGAGCGAAGGACACAGTGGCCTTCCACCATCGTCTGAGGACACAATAAGTGACGAGAGCCTGTTTCATGGGATGGCTGCTATGCTCCTTCTATACGCATCTTCACAGAACACATGTTGTGGCAAAATGCTTGGGCAGCTTTCCCATCATTATGCTCCCAAGCCCTGAGACGTGCAGAAGCCTCTAAAAGCAAGCCGGCCTGCACAATGCTGGTAGCTCCTCTCTGTCACGCCTGTTGTTCCTCAGCACGCAATCTGCCCGAGCACAACCAACCAATGCTGCCGATAAAGTATTGGGGATTAGAAGACGAGGTAGGCTTGCTTGCTCTGTACAATACGTTCTTCAAAGTTATTATACACTGGTCTTGGCTGCTTTCGTCCTGCATGACTGGTAGCTCCACCAGATGTTTCTGTAGGGAAAGGGAAACATCTGCATTTTGCAGTTTCGCTCGAGCCCCTATCTCCCCTTCAGCGAAGTTTAATCAACTCTACACTGGTTACTCTAGACCGAGGCTCTGCACGAGCAGGTTCTCCACCAGTGAAAACAAACCTGCAAAAGAGGGGCTGCGGCAGGAGTGATGCCAGTGTCTGAATCAGCTTCGAGATGTGCAAAAGTTCTGCGGAGGGAGCACTTATCGTGCCGTGTTTCCCGCCGAGCACATCAAGCCCTGAGCTGAAGCCTGACACCAGCCTCATGGCATGCCGACTGGCTGACTGGCATAAGTGTCCGAGTTGTGGGTCAAATACGAATGCCTGTCTCGCCAGCTTAACATTAAGCCTCATGCCTTGATAGCCCCAGGCGGACGCCCTGCCTGCGCCGCAAGTGCCGCTTTGACCCCCGCAGGACACCGGCAGTGGCATCTGCACCTGTGGCATTGTACAGCCGTCAAGCATCAAAGGGCTACTAGAAATCAGGGGTCTCGAGCCTACCGTGAAACAGCCTGCACATGTCTGACACAACGACCGCAGCTCGAAGGAGCAAGTGATCGACGCACATGCGTTTCCCATCATCCCCGTCCGGCAACACTACTGGATTGCTCTGACATCTGCAGATCCGTGAAACATGCCAGGATCAACGTCTCACAATCCTGTGGAAGCTCCGCATCCTCGGGTCCTGCTCCCTGACTTCCTGAACCCGGAAGACTAAAACATCCATACCCTGATCCCAGTGCGAGGCACATGACTGGCTGCTAGGCGCCTTGTAGAACTCGGGGTGGAGTCGGCCAAAACAAAGCTACCGAGCCCAGCCGAGCCAGCTGCAAGGCGGACGCATTTAGGGAGCAAAGGCTGGTGGGATACTGAGGATAAGAGAGTTGGGGTATCGGAAGCCAAACTGTCTGAAAATGAGTCGCCAAAGTGGCAAGGCCCACCGACAGATGCATCGCTTCAAGTTCGGGGAGTTTGGCGAGGCAGAACTATGACAACGACATGCATCATTCAATCCGAGGATGGTCAATAAAGAGGAAGATACGCCTTGAGCCTGCCCGTAATCCTCACAGCTAAGTCCTGAGCAAGCTGAAGCCCTTCCGCGAGTGGGCTTTGGCCCAGTCGGGGCGCAAGCGGATGGCCTCCCGTGACCCAGCATTGAAGGTACACAAACCCTTCGACTCGCACCTAAGCTCTTGTGCCCGTTCTGTCCATCACCTGACTGTAACCACAAAGCATCCAAAACTTGAAACCCTCGGCCACATGGAGGAACCTCGTTGGCAGCCTCCAGGGCTTTCTGGTGATCCTGACCGGCGATGGCTTAAGGCCACCGAGTAGCAATCCGACATCTGAAGTGCCGTGGCGCAGCCTTGATCTGCCCCACGTCAGAGCAGGGGTACAGATAACCCTGCACCTCTATAAGTATACATGCAACAGCCTCCAGCCGGACCTTCAAAAAGCATTCGTGATGTTGAAAGACTATCTGACATCTGTGTTTCGGGATGTGGGAGTGGTGGCGCTTGGGGGCCCCTGGCTGTCCCCTTTGGTCGCGAATGCCGCAGCGATGTTCGATTGGATCCTGGCGAAAAGCAGTGGTTTAGCCGTTCTTGACAGACTGTCCTAGACAAAGTCTGCCTTGCAAACCTAAGGTTTGGAGGGTCGGAGGCAAAGGTAATCATCAGTAGCCCCGTGCGTGGCCCTAGGTTGAAATCGGACTTCGGCCACATACGTACACGTCGTGTTGCTCCTTCCAATTTCCGGAACACTCTGTACAGCGCAGTTCCAATTCTGGGCCGGCGCCGATGTCTTCTCGATTGAAGCTTTCTTAGCATCCACTTCCATCTCCTCCAATCTTTGAAAGCCCAGGATGTGTCGGAGTTGGAGCCACGAACTACTTCAATATGAAGCCCTTCTAGCCCTAGGTTGGAGATATGCCAGCAACTGATTCTTAAACGCGAACAAACGGAACTAGAGGCATCCCCCTTCCCGATACTCAAGACAGCGACCAGGCACGTTGCTGCAAACTCGGTGTCGTCTTGGGCTTCCTGGCTTGGGCTTGCACTCGCGGTGTTCAAGGGCGCCTGCGCTAAAACCATCATTTTGCAAATCCTGGTCCTAGTCTTCCTATATAAAGGGCGGCCTGTGCCGTCTTTAGACTGTAGCCTTACACCCTGTCGTCTGCTTGGGGAAGGGCTCCTGTGCGCATGTACATGAGTAATGTACAGTAGTGCCTACGCAGAGTGCCACGTGTAAGCATGTCACTCCGAGCCTGACATTCGACATCATCTGTCTATGGACCATGGCACAGCCTTCTCTTCTGTCGGTGTACTCCTGAGCTACGTCCGCCTAGGTCTAGAATCCTAACTTCGAAGTGCACGCTTCTGCAAGCCAGAAGTGCTTTGCGCAGGCAAGTCCGCGAAGGCAGGTTCAACTGCTCACGGATCGGACAAACCCAGCGTAGGCAAATGGTTTATAGCGCCCAGTATCCAGCGCTTGTCGTCCATATTGCCTGTTGCGATAAGTAGGGCTTGTTCTGGCCTTCGCAAGCCTTTCTGTTGGACACATGGTTGAACTGTAACTTCTGAAACCGAAGCTTCTGAAATCGAGGCACTGAAGAACCCCAACTCTGACCAGTGTGTTCTGCCGGCTTTAGACGTGTCCTGCAATGCTTCGCGATAGCAGCTGACAGCTTGGTCGTAGCGACCCTCCTGGAAGTTGGCGCGATGGGCAGACGTGGCCAGACATGGACGGTGTCAGTGCTACTAGTCTGCGGTTACTCCAACAACCATCCTGAAAGTTATTGCTAGGCTCGTGCATTGTTTTTTTGAGGGTTCCAGTTTTGGCTTCACTTTCTTATAGTCCACTTCATCGTGGAGAATATGCATCTCTGCAACAATCCGAAACTGCAAAGTTTCACGAGAAGCCAACTCGTACCCTGTCAGCTCCTTGAAGTTTGCATCGCCTTGGGCCTTTTTGGGACCTGTCTGTCAAGAGGGGGCGTGCATGTACTCTCTGATGCCAACCGTACAATCGGGCCGTCGGTGCAGCCGAGTCCATGCATTCGCGTTTGACAAACAGTAGATGTCAGTAGATTCAGCAGATGCGAATGCCGGGTCAAGGTGCCAGGGGTTGCTACGACACATTCGGGTTTCGGGCAGCCCGAAGTCCGAAGACCACCCAAACGCAACCGGCTGCTTCGGATTTGTCCTGCTACAGCTGACACCGATATCCAAATCGAGCTGTTCGCAAGGGTCAGGGGTCTGCATTGGTGTTGGGTCGGGTTGAGGGCTTAGGGGGGTTTGGGGTGCCCACCTCATGCTGCATTTGTGCTGACGCACAAGACGTGATGCTAGGATTCCAAGCGCGCCCGAAATAACCACCACAACCACCACCACGACTGCTACTCCTGCTGCTCTGCTGCTCTGCTGCTACTCTGTAGTACTATGCGTTGGCTATCCTACGAATACTCCTCAGGCAGCCTGCTTGCTCCTGCCTCCCGCTATTCTCAGTGCTGTTTCTACGACAACTGCCATTACGGTTCACGATTACAAAATCGACCGTCTTCTGTGCTCTATGACCACTTCGGTCGGCGTGTAGCCCTGTGTCTGCGGCTGGTCTTTGCCAGGACCACTTGCAAGTTCTCCGGCTTGCATCGGACCTGCAGCTCATGGACAGAAAATGAACGGTCCATGGTCGCAAGGGGTGGGCCGGGCTCGGGGGTCAACGCTGAAGCCTAGCAATTAAGCCAAGATACGCGATCATCTGATGGGCCGTCGAGCTTCACCTCTTCCCGTGCTGCAAACCGACAGTGGAAAAACCTCCCGCAGAAGTCCCGAAACACCTCGCTGTTCATCCTGACTGGGAGTCCATGATGCAGACGCCCAACCACACGAGCAGTCGAGTTAGACTACATACCCATAAGCGCTGGTGCACGTGACCTCTTCGTCGTCATCAACACGAGGATGCAACAGCAAGAACGAACCCATGTCACGAGCATCCCGCCTCAAACCGGCCGGCAGCCTCATCCTTTGACATGACCTGGTTCTGAGAGTTTTGGCCAGGCAAATGAGGCAAATGGGATTAATCTGGAAGGCTTGACAGGCACTGCATACCTTCTCAAGGGAGGGTGACAGCTAAAGCAGCACACCGCATCGACCCTGCTGGATCACATTGCATTCGGCCCTGCTGACAGCATGCTGACACCTGAGAGATCTGGAGCTGTTGCTTGCCTTGCATCATCGAGGACAAGTACATGACTGACTCCTCCTGAAAACACCACTGCAAAACCTGCTCCCCGCTTGCTCTGCACCAGAGGCTCGCAAACACGCAGCAACAAGCTCCCTCCAAGCAATTCTAGGCACCCGGCTGTGGCACGGCGGCCGTTGAGTTCCGGTTTGCTCTTCAAGCCCTTGATCTCCACCTCTGCAGCTACTTCAACGGGCTGTCTGCACAACACATCTGCATCTCCAACCGCGATTCACGTGGCCGTGCACAACACATAACATTTGAGCGTGACTTTCATCTACAGGGTGGCGGCTTGGCGACTCATTCTGGTCTTACCTCCTCGACTCATTTTCTTTCGCCGGCTTCCTTGCGTAGCGCAGCCAGTCAGAATGATTGCTAAAAGACACAAGAAGATCCGTCTCTGAATCCAAAGAAAGAGTTGTCAGCAACTATTAAGAGCCGGTTCTTGGGCTTGTTGTGCTGCTAGTTGACGTTTCTCACTGTGGTCGCCATCTGATGGCATAGTTTTCTCGCGAATCAAGTTCAAGAGTCCAAACTCCAACCCCTGGCAACTCCGATCCCTGCAGACTGAAACCAGACCTAGGCCCGCTCCGCCGTTTCGAGCCTGGCTGCCGATGCCGATCTCCCCGTTCGAAGGAGGCGCGGCATCGTTGGCAGGAGGCGGAGCCGGGGCCTTCTCTGTCAACGGTTTTGTTGCTTCCTGCATTATCACTTCTGGAAGCTCGGCTGAGTCCAGCTATCCAGAAAACGTCCAGAAGACTTCCGTATGTACGCAAACAGACACAAAGCTCAGAAGAACGAACAGACAGCAAAAGTAACAACAAAGCCAAGACACCAACAGCTGTCGAAACAGTGCCGGCTAACACACTAAAAAAGCTCGCCGAGGCAGAACATGCTGAGCTCAACAGTCATGACAAACGACGGAGGAGGTACTGCCCAATTTGAAGGATCAGAAAACTTCGTCCGGTGGCTACCGCCGGAGCATGCGAAAACATGGACCAGGCGTATCATGCAAGAGCCATCGCTCGGGCATGCCCGATAAGTAAGCCGCGAGCAGGCTCTGCTGGTGCCGGTGGCTCTTTGGTAGGACTGGAGTCCTGCATCCCAGCACTAAGTAAGTCACCAAGACGCACTCATGAACCGGTGTGCGACGATGCTTCGAAACTGCGACCAACAGGGCACCCTGAATGCTTGGTAGAAGCTCGTGTGCCAATGCAAGCTAGGCTTGGGTGAATATGTTAGCAGAACCTTTGCGTCGTTTTTGGTGATAATACCAGCAGCCTACCGCTACCCACCCACTAGAAAATTATTCCTATACTCCCCTCAAATCTCAACAACTATATCACCACTACAACCCCATTACCAATACCAGTAAAGGAATAACCAATTACCTCGTCCATATAAGAGGACTATTCCTTTACTCCCTAATACTAGTTCCCCCAATTGTCACCACTACACCCAAAGCAGACAAGGGTTCTGCTAACTGAATACTGTATCCCCTCAAAAGCGAACCACGCAGAAGTGAATGCCACGCAGGTCCAATGCCCACTTCATGAGAAAGGAGGCTGGACAGACATCTCATGAAGAGGAAATACATTCGCTTCTTCGCTAAGCCCGGCTCAACTTGTGCAGGTTCTTGACAAGAACCTGCGCTCATGTGCTGCTCGAATCCTGCCTGCTCCTCATCGTCTTCGAAATTCACATCGCCAACGGGCGCCTGGAGTGGACCGGAGTATCTGATTAATTCGCTGCAAAGATCGCCGGTTTGGGTAGTAGTCGCCATCGTCGTTGTCACGTCATCGTGCCGTCGTCGCATCACGAGTTGGGGGTACTGTAGCAGACAGCCCCACGTTTAAACCCAAGCAAAAACGATGACAGCGACGCTGCAGTTGTTGTTGTGGTTGCTGCTGGGTGGGTGTCAGCATGACCATCACAATCGTGATTGTGGTGGTTGTCCGGCGCTGAGGCATGCACATTGCTGGCTGCCGTGCGCGTGTCCTCCTCGACCACGGGTGCAGCTTCTGGCCTCGTTGGCAAGTGTTGGCTGACATGTAAGGCAGGAGGTGGATCACGGACACTGCCTGCAGCTGACATTTGCAAACACCGCATCGAAGTGTCGTTCGCATAGCAAAGAAGCGAATGAAGTGATGGTTGGGTGGCTGACTGGACACCATTCCAGTCTGACTTTGCAAACCCAGCGAGGCCTGAGAGGGAGTTCAAGCCTTGCGGGCCAGAAGATGAATTTCCCAGCAGCGTTCTATGAGAAACCCAATGCCAAAATCCTACATAAGAACCCACACCTGTCTCAATGACTGCACTTGGACAAACACGAGGTCCTTTACCTCCTGCATGTGACAACCGGACTTCTGACTGCTGTATCGTAAGCACGACAATGCGACATCCCACGCCAACTTCCAAGCACGCCAACCCCGGAAGCTCGGAGGCCGGCCCGTCGCCAACTCCATCGTCAGGATCGGCAGCGGAGGGCGAGGAGGCCGTTGTTTCGGGCTCCGCCTGGAAACGCGAAAGCATTTCCGTTCAGTTACGGCTATGGCTTTGCTCGTGCCACAAAGCAGGGCGACTTCACCACACCGATACGTTGACGGAGGACCCTAGCAGCTAGCAGCTTCAAAGGAATTGAAACCGTACCCGGTACCTTACCCACCCACACATTCGCAAATGTTCACTGTCACAAAATGCCATGAAGAAAAACAGAAAACTGACATACATACGTCCATGAATGCCTGCCTGCATAGATACATACATCCATCCGCACTGCGAAAGTACACTAGTACAGAATGCACACCAAACTACCCTAAAGTAATTCCGTGCACAAGCTCACACGACTGAGACCAAAGTAGCCCTGAAGTTCAGCAGCGCCTTTTCTCTGTGAGGGCAAAGTGGTCTTGAGCCAACGAAGGTTGGCAAAGTCGTAGGTCTGGGAGAAAGTAGGGACGTGTTATTTTCACACGCCTCCTCGAGACTAAAGTATAGTACTTTATTCTCGCAAAGTATATAACACGTACAATGGATGTACATGTGTAAGCGAGCGGATGCGCAAAAGTTGTTTCCGCTTCCAGCGCTGGAGAACTGCAAAGTGCAACGATGCCTCCTATCTACAGCATCAAAAGTTGCTTCTGAAAGAAAGTTCGTTGTGCTCGTTGTGCAAAGTGTCGTGACTGCGCACGGCACATCAAAGTGCAGCGTGGCCCAAAAGTGGTTGGCCCATTAAAGTGCAGCAACCAAGGTAGCACCAAACGTCAAAAGACGCCGAAAAGTGTGCTGTAGAGATGGCCAACCATATAGGAAAAAAGTGCCATCGTCACAAAGTGGCTTAAAGCCGAGGCCTTGCCATGGCCTGCCAAAGCTCCCGAGGGATAAAGTCCCACGTCTGAGACTGCGTGGTGGCATCCCAAAGTTGCCGGTTGACTGGCAAAGTCTCCACCATGGCGAATCCTGTCGGCCCATAAGTGTGTTCAGAGCATCACACACAAAGTAGCCATTTGCCGTCGGTGGGTGTAAAAGTACAAACCCACTCTGGAGCATGCAGCGGCCTTCTGCAGAAAAGTTGTCCAAAGTGATGGATCCCTGCCGTGGTAAAGCAAAAAAGTAGTCCAGGTAACGCCTATTCCAGACAGCGTACGAGGAAACCAAGCCCATCCAAAGTGCTTGGGTTGGCCGAAACCCAAACGTGACCAGTTGGTCAACTTGAAAAGTTGTACCAGCCATCTTCTTGATGGAGAACCCCAAAGGCGAATAAAAGTACAGCCGACCGAGGGCTGAAGGAAAAGTTGAGGTGAGAGTCGTCACCCCAAAAGGCGTCTGCACCAGTAAAGTGCAAAGCTCCTCCGCCCATCAAAGTCTGCATCTTCTGTTGAAACATCGCCAAAGGTAAAGTCACATATAGCATAAAGTTTGCGAAAATGTTCGGTGGCAAAGTCGCTGGCACCGACATCAGCATTCTCGCGAAAAGCCACTGAAAAGTGGTCGCGGCCAGAAAGATCTGCTCCGGCGGCGTATAAAGTCCTGGGTGTTCTCTCCCAGGGAACAACGTCTGCAAGATGCGTTCCAAAGTGAGCTGCTCACCAGGTGGAAAGTGCATCGGGTGCAGAGTGCCGGGCCGCCAAAGTTGCTCGACCTGTCTGCCGTCAGTCAACATTTGCACAAAGTCGGTCGGATAGAAAGTCGACGCATATGTGCTAAAGTTGGCCTGGGGCCGAAAGTCTCCCGCAACATCTTCCAGCAAAGTGGTATTGTCCCCACCAGGACGAAAGTTGGGCGGAAAGTAGCCCTGCCTTTTCGGAGCCATCACGGCTGTGGGTCACGCCCAAAACCGAAAAGTCTCCGAAGGATGGCCCTCAAAGTCCTCCTTGCAAAGTTCACAACAGAGGGACCGTATTCGATAATTCCAATCGCACCTGCAAAGATGCAAAGTGCAACAAAAAGGAATAAGAAAAGTCCGTCAACCCACGGTGACGAAAGTCTTCCTTCCGGCTGCGGCAAAGGCTGGTCGCACTGCTGAAAGTCTTGTGGGTTCAAAAGTGGATCCACGTCCACCGTTGTATGGTCACCAAAGTGACCTGGCCCGCGGCCCAAAGTGTGCCCGGACCCTTGCTGTCGCTCCAGCGCCCTCTGGAGCAAAAGTCGGATCAACCGAATCTCTCCTGGAGAAAGTGGCAGCTCTGGCCCCTCCATCTTGAAAGTCTTGTAGAAAGTTGCAGTTGCAACAGAAAGTCAGAGAGCCATGGCACGCAAAGCGAGCGAAAGACCGAAGTAAAAGTGAAAACGGTTGCGGCGAAAAGGCGCAAAGTTCAACAAAAACCCACGACAAAACCCGAACACCCTGAACGGGAAAGTCAAGTGAGCTTACATATGTACATTAAAAGTGGCGCTTGCACACCGGGAAAATCATCATCGGAAAAGTCATCCACCATCAAGGTTTCACGGTAAAAGTTTCTTCCTTTTCGGAACGGAGAAAACGGAAAACCGAAAAATCATCTTCAAAGTTGGTTCCGGAAAAATGAAAAATTCCAGCGACGAGCGAAAGTCGAAAACATGTCGAGGCTGCACAAGCAAGCAAAAGTACATGTCCGCACAAGCATGAAAAGTACATGTCCGCCAGAACGTGATTCTCTCAGCTCTCAAAGTCTTCTTCTCTCTCATCTGGGTTCTTCTGGGAAAGATGATGAGTGGCAAAGTCCAACCCGAGATGGGGTGGCTAAACCTCAAACCCGAAAGTAGGAAGATGGCGGTGCGAAGTATCCTTCGCGATGTACTTCGTAAGGATATCTGCTGGGTTCAAAGTCCCAAGAACTTTCTTGATCCTAACCATACCAGAAGTAACGAGCTCTTGCACGTAAAGATATCGTAACTCAACGTGCTTCGTTTTACGGCTTGCGCCGAAACGTGAGGCAATGCTTTTGCCAACGTTACTGTCTGTGATGTGAGAACACAAAGGTTAGCCTTCTGAAAGATCCTGGTCTCTTCTACCAAAGACCTCACGAAAAGAGCATCTGCAGTACCAGAGCCTATAGCATAAAGTTCTGCCTCTCCGCTCGAGAGGGCTACGGTGGCCTGGGTCCTGCTGTGCGAAAGTATATTCGCCCCGAGCAAAAAGAGGGAAACTCCTGAAGTGGAGCGTCGGGTGTCATGGCATCCTGCCCAATCGCTGTCAACAAAAATGTTGATATCTATTGCTTTGTGCTGCGGTGAAAGTGAGAGGGTTGGTTGCAGTTTCTGCTCAAAGTGCTTTGTCCCTGCCAGGTACTTCAAAAGATGCTTCACCTTTGCTTCGTGTTCTGTGGTTGGCGCAGAAAGTCCTCGGCTCAACTCCTTGACAGCATACATGATGTCAGGGCGCACGCTGGAAAGCCACAAAAGTTGGCCCACAGCGCGCCGGTAGCGCTTGTGATCCTCAGGGTCCAAAGGTTCACAGTCGAGCTGCTTCCTCAAAGCATCCGTTCCTGGCGCAAGTGCCTGCCGGCACTGTTTCAGACCGTAAAGCTCTAGCATCGTATCAATGTAGGATGGGCTCATTCCTACAGAGATGAAAGTGGAGGTGCGCTTCAGGTTGCGGCCTAGAAACGACAAACTCTGACCTTCATCCAAAGTACCTGTCACCTTAAGCAACAAGTCCTTCTGAAGATCCCGGATCAAAGTCGAAACATCAGCCCGCGAACCGAAAAACATCAAGTCATCCACGTACGCCAGAACGTAAAGTTGCTTGCTGTCATGTACGTAAAGGTTCGGGTCCGACTTCATGCGTCGAAAGCCGTTCTTTTCCATGACAGAGGCGAAGTGCTGCTGCCAAAGCTTAGGGCTGTGCTTGAGCCCGTAAAGGGCTTTCTTAAGCTTCCACAAAGTGCGGCCCTCTGGATAGAACTCAAGAGGGGGAATGACATAAAAGTCACCGTCGACCAGGGCATGAAGAAATGCCGTCGAAATGTCTCCGATCGAGATGTGCAAAGCTTAGGGCTGTGCTTGAGCCCGTAAAGGGCTTTCTTAAGCTTCCACAAAGTGCGGCCCTCTGGATAGAACTCAAGAGGGGGAATGACATAAAAGTCACCGTCGACCAGGGCATGAAGAAATGCCGTCGCAATGTCTCCGATCGAGATGTGCCATCCCTTCGCAACAGCCAAAGTCAACAACAGCCGAAGTGTGGTTAAGGACGGGGTTGAGGCGAAAGTCTCATCCTTGTCTTCCACAAGTTGAGTGTAACCTCGCCCCACAATCCTGCAGCGCACAGTTCCGTCAGGCTTGCGCACTTTAACCCACTTCGTGGAAATTGCAGACCGCAAAGTCTCCTCAGAGACCGACTCAACTGAGACTTCGTCGAACACGTCAAAGTCACGCATCGACTTCATCTCCTTTGTCATGCCTGCAGATTCCTCCTCACGTGTGAACTCCGTCTGGTACCAAATGTGCGGATTCTCAGGTGTCTTCATCAACAAAAGTTCTTTCTCATCTTGATTCACCGACACCGGTACTTCAAGGTCCTGCTTCGTTGTCACAGCAGAGATGCGAAAGTCACACACACGCGAAAACGCTTCTTGGTCTCCGCAAAAGTTACGCTGGCCATTCTCTGCACCTTACTCGTCCCAACAGGCAAAGTCTCCGACGTACGCTTGGTCGGAGAGGAAGCAGACGCCTCCTCAAGTCGAGGCCTTGTAGCCGCAGGTTGCGGCAAAGTTGCTTCCGTTGCGGACCGTGGTTGGCCCTGTGTCTGCTGGTCCAAAGTGACGTGTGGCGGCTCAAAAGTGTCAAGGTCAGGAGGCGTAGCCAAAGACTCCAAGTCCGACAAGTCTTCTCTTGGCGGCACTGCCTCTGGCTCAAAGCCGCTCAAGTCGTCACCAAGCAAGTCTTCAACTTCTTGCAAAGCTTCAGGTGCAAGTGGCTCAGTCGACTCTTGCTGCTCAAAGTTCGAAGGGTCTGCTGCTGTCGCCTCCTCGGACCGCTTGGCTTGAGGAAAGACAAAAGTGTCCGTCTCAGCCTTCGAACCGGTGGGGTCCCAAGGGCGCGCAGAGATCGACTGCAAAAGTGCAAGGTCGGCTTGCCGGGAGGGTGGGTGGCGCTTGACACTGCGGGTCTTAAAGACTCCAGTGGCGTCAGCAACAAAGTGCTGATCAGACTCAGTGTCCTTGCCAAGCCAAACACCAGGCACAAAAGCTGCACGACCTTTCTGCGGATGCGGCTTGCGGAAAAGTACTGTCTCTCCAAAGCGACAGATAAAGCCGGCATACTTCTTACGCCAGCGCCGCTCAAAAGCCGTGGTTCCTTCCGCGTTGCAAAGGTAACGGTTTACAAGCCACTGCGCGTGACGAACCAGCCAAGTAAACAAAGCTGAGTGCACCGAAAGGTCAACGTCGTAGCGCTCAAGGATCTCAAGGCGCAAAGCCTTGATCTGTCCGTAAAAAGTGGCCTGCATGTTACCCACACTGCCTTGCGCTTGCTTCCAACCAACGGGCGTCTTGCGAAAAGAAAGTCCGCCAACCTCACCAGTGACAGAAGTTGCAATAGCGAGGAGGGCGGGTTCGGGGTCCGCTTGCAACACACCGAAAGTTCTGCCCGTTTCAAGCACAAAGCGACGAAGTTCAGCCTGCGAATAAGGTGTGCGGGCCTTGGTAGGGATCACAACAGAAAGTGCCATGCCCGAAAGAACATCGACAACATTCAAAATTGTGATCTGTTCCTCACCAGGCTTGTCGCCAAGAAAGCTAAGGTCCATCTGCAGCACAGGCTGCTTCAGGGAAAGTCTGCGGCTCTTGGCCTGCTTGCTCTTGGCACGCACACAAATTTCGCACCAGGGCTTAAAAGGTAGGTGGGTCAACTCGTGTTCAAGCCGCTCCGTCAAAGTCGGCTCGCCAGGCTGCTTAAGCCCGCGAGGGCGATGCGCAACGTAGTCTGGAGCTTCTGGCTCGCACTCAACAAGTTGCAAGTCTGCCTTCTCAAAGCAAGTAGCTCCAACAAAAGGTGAGCTGATCAAAGTAGCGCCGCGCTTGCGCCAATTGTCAGCGTGCCAAAAGGGCGCTTCTTCTGTGTCTGGCCTCACAACCAAAGTCATGCGACCGTCGCCAAGCTGCTCTTCAAAGTGCGGATCCTCAGGCACAAAAAGTGTGGTCCGCTGTTCGTAGTGGACACGCACCCAGCAAGACGGAAAGTCAAGCCACAAGTCGTGCGTGTACTGCTGGCCTGTTGCCGGGTCCTTCTCCAAAAGTTGCTCAAGCAAAGCCTTCCGAAAGTCTTCCAGTGTTCCTGAAGAGGTCTGCTCAAGGCGCAGACGGAAAGTGCCCTCGGTGCTTTGCTCCTTGAGGCCTTTAGTGGGTTGCTTGAAAAGTGGTTGTGGGGCCTCTGCTACAGGTTCTTGCTGCTCAAGTGGTTGTGGAACTGGCTTGCGTGCAGGTGTAGGTTCAGGTAAAGTTGTCTGTTTTCCAACCAGCTTGCGGCCAGTGGGCTTGGAGGTAAGTTTAAAAACAGTTTTGCCAACAAAACGTTCAGAAGCTGGGCCCTTTGGGTTAGCTACCTTACGCCAGTTGTCGGTGAAAGTCTCTTTTCTGCCATCTGCGTACTCAAAGTAGGTTACGCGTTCGTCTGAAAGGTCCTTCAGGTCTACAGGGCGATCTTTCGTCCCTTCGGGAGAAAAGAAAGTAGCTCTCGCTCTTTTGTGTATACGGGTCAAAGTATTACCCGAGAGCTCCCATTTATCAATATGATACTGTACAACAGGTTTGAAAACTGGGGCCACTATGGTACCTTGGGCGCTTTGTGTGTGAAAAGTGTTACACACCACCTCAAACTCTTCCTTGTTGAAAGGTGCCAAAGTGGGCCTCAAGAAAAGAAGTGAACCATGCCTAGTGATGGGCACCTTGTGTCCATCCGGTGTTTCCAAAGTGTTCGCCTTCTTAGAAGAAAGGTTCACGTCAAAGCCTGACCTCAAAAGTCTGCCAACAGACACCACACAGTAGGGAACGTCGCAAACGTAGAAGTGTAGAAAACAGGGCTGACCCTCAAAGTCAACCTTCACAAGTCTCCTTCCAAAGACCGTCAAAGGCTGACCAGAAATGCTCCTCAAAGGTGGAGCCTTACCTGTAAGTGGCAGAAGCGGCCACTCTGAGGCAAAGTCCTTCGGGCAACAGTGAGTTGCAGCACCTGAATCAAAGAGGATCCACGGATCGGTGTCCTCCAAAGTCGAAGCAATCAAATGCTCCTCCAAAGCAACATCCTTGAAAGTCGTATTCATATTCTGAAGACCGAGATCCCCAACACTGAAAAGTCGTTGGTTCTCATCCGTGCGACCATTCAAGGAGAAAGTCTCAAGCGGTGCCATACAGGCCGTAGGCTCAAAGTTCTCACACTCTCCGAAACCACCAAAGCTGAAGTCTACAACTCCGTTCGTCATCCCATCAACTCTGAAAGTGTTCCCCAAACCAAAGTTGCCGAGAACAACAGCCGACATGAGCAAAGTGCTCGGGCTGATGCTCGCCTTAGCTTTAGGCTTGGCTTTGGGGGTCGAAAGTCCAGGTGGTCCTTGCAAAGTCACAGCCGACACGGGCAAAGTCGCCGCGCCGCTTGACGAGGAAGCCTCTTCCTTGGGCTTCGCCAAAGTTTCGGCCTTCGCCGAAGGAGCAGCCTCTGAAGGCCAAACTTCTGAAGTAAAGTCCGAAGACCAACCCCAAGGGTCAACATCCCAGGACCAAGCATCCCAGGACCAAAGTTGATCATCCCAAGTCTGATCCCAACTGCTAGGGTCGTTGTAAAGTTCCGTCACCGCGTTGATCGCCCAATCGGTCCAATCAGACCAATCGTCCTCACCAAAGTGAGACCAATCTCCTGCATCCTCCGACGGGTAAAGTTCTTCACCTTCAACAGCTGAAACACGGTTGTTCGGACAGTTGCTTGAAAAGTGACCTGTTTTACCACACGTCCAGCACACCGAAGTAGAACTAGAAGTGGATTTTCCTTTTCCTTTTCCTCTTCCTTTTCCTTTCACCATAAAGTTCCAATGTTGTCCTCCTTTTCCAAACGACTTCGAAAAGTCCTTTCCTTTTCCTTTTCCTTTTCCTTTCTTTCCTTTTCCTTTCCTTCCTTTTCCTTTCCACAAAGCTGCCGCTAAGGCACCAATGTCCATGGGAGCCGAAGCTCCACCAGCAAAAGTTGCATTCGCCGAAGTTTGTGCAACTGGATTCATCAAAAGTCGTGACCTGTGATACTCAAGGATAACTTCTCGAACCTGAGCATAAGTAGCCAAAGTTTGGGCATTCAGCCTAAGGTGTTGTTGTAAAGCTCCGGAGGTCTTGTTCAGCAAAGTTGCAACAAGTACACCATCAGGCAAAAGTTGTCCTGCTTGTCGTTCATACCTAGTCTTGATTGTTTCCCAAACATTAAAGTCCTGTTCAAAGGTGGCTGGGTTGAACTTAAAGTCCAACAGCTGCGTCAAAAGTGACGTGCTTCGCGTGGCTCCTGGCAGCGAGAACTTCTTGTAAAGTCTTCTCCATGTCTCAAAGCCGTTGCTGTCCTCGTTCTGACGAACAACAAGTTTCGCCGAATCTTTCACAAGTTGCGAAATCAAGTATTGTAGTTTTCGGGAGAAAAGTACTCGGTTGGCGGTCTGTTCCGGATCTACATCACCTGTATCCAAAGTGACCGTTACATCAACATCTGTAAAGTCACCTTGCGCACCCGTGCGCATCTCGGCTCTGTCCATCAAAGTTACAGCACCTACTTCGAACATCGAAATGTACGCTGTAAAGTTCCATGACCATTCTTCCCAATCTGCTGGGTTCCCAGAGAAAGTCTGTGGAAGGGGAAGCCGAAGCTTTCCTGTAAAGTTGTCTTCACCTCCTAGTGCCATGTCGTTCTACCAAAGTTCCGTGGAGCTTTCAGCTCCGCTACCATGCGAAAGTACACTAGTACAGAATGCACACCAAACTACCCTAAAGTAATTCCGTGCACAAGCTCACACGACTTAGACCAAAGTAGCCCTGAAGTTCAGCAGCGCCTTTTCTCTGTGAGGGCAAAGTGGTCTTGAGCCAACGAAGGTTGGCAAAGTCGTAGGTCTGGGAGAAAGTAGGGACGTGTTATTTTCACACGCACATACATACATACATACATACACACACATACATGCTTACATACATGCATACAGACATACATAAGTACATACCAATCATACAGACCCGATAAAGGCATGCCCAGAAACGCGTAATTTTCGGTACATGCATGCATGCATGCACAGATGCATGAGTGCATGCATACATACATGGATCATACGCACATAATCAGAGGAATGCATGTCTGTAAGTCTATGCACACACACACATAGATGGGTAGATAGATGGGTAAATAGATGGATAGATAGCTAGCTAGGTAGGTCGGTAGACAGGTAGATAGGTAGATAGGTAGATAGATACTGGAGTACATAGTGAATACATAGATTTAGATAGATAGATGGGTGGATGGGTATGTATATATGCTTATGTGTACTCTCATATGATCCCATATGTGTAGATAGACTGTTGTCTGAAAAACCATATGCCGTAAGTACAGTATCCATAAGTCCAGCCTTCGCAGCTGCCTTTGGAGGATCCAAGGGCTCAGTGCGGTCGCTCTTCACCACCATGGGCTTGTCCTGATGTGCAAACCCAAGATATTGGCCACTCTTACTCAGTTCCTAGTTACTAGTTACTAGTTACTAGTTGTGTTACGGCTATTACAACTTGCACAAGATGAAAGCAATGCAGGCATGCCCTGCGAGCACACACACCTTACGCTCCACAGCCCGACCCCCCGGACCCCGAGGCAGGGGCGGCCATAAACCTCCAATCTCGATTTTTCGAAAGCTCCAGGCATGTTAGACTTTTAGCCCTCGGCCTAGAAAGCTTTGCTTCGCTCCTTGACTTTGAGGCTCACCCAGCCGCTGCTCGGCCCGGTCCCGGTCAGCCGGGTGTAGCGCAATCGCTCGCCAACCAGCTCCTGCGACTTTGGGCTTCGCTAATGGTGCATGTACTGTAACTGGGGCTCGGCCGCTTCACCATGACACATTTGCTGAGGTATAGCGAAAGAACAATCGCAGCACACTTGGTTGACGGAGTGGGCTGCGTTGCTGCCGTTCGGTTGAAAGTTCTGAGGGACTCCTAGGATCTCGCACTTTCGGGGCTTCGGCCCTCTAGGCAGCTGAGACAGCGGCGATGACATGGCACGGGTGCATCACATCAAGGCGGTATCCCGCGCTGGAAAGGCGGATCGTAAACCCGGTCAGTGCGCGGTCGCACAGTCCTCCTGGCGGACCAGGGCGCCGGTCGATAACCGACCATCCTTTCGCATGTCGATTCCAGGCCGGCTTTTGGAGTAAAGTGGGGATGTGCTTCGGCTGATCGGAGGGCAGAAGTGGCTTGGGCGAAGATCCGGCCCAATGCAAAAATCATGAGAAGCGCTGATCCCCGTGATCGAGGTTCGAGATGGATCTGCTTCGAAAGATCTTGGAAGAATCTGCAAAGCTGAGCATCCTAACAGTGTGGCTCTTGCATAAGAAGTTCCAGTGCAGCTACAGTCATTGTAAAGTCGGTTACAACTCGGAGACCGTCAACACGAACCCATCCTCTTCGCGGGATGTCAGTTCCCTCCCAGCACGTACGAGGATGCCGCCTGCGGCAAGGAGACTGATGTAGCAGAGCTGCATACCATTGCTTCAGAGTGAGCAAGCTGCTCATTAGTGAGTTTTTAGGAGCTCAACCCTTCGACGTGACGAGCGTGTAATAGTGCAATATGCTCTCCCAACTCAGGGTCGTGAAAAGGACTCTCCCGGGTATCTCTCCCGTAACGCGAAGCGGCCTTTGTCCACACCACCGACAACTTCCCAAAGTTGGGCCATGGCTCTGGGTAAACTTGTAGCTTGTTCTTGAGACCCTTCGAGCTTGGTAGACTGCCGATCTATTTGCATTATCTAGAATGCATACGAAGCAAACAAGGTGACAGCGTTATGGACACCTTCGATATCCTTCGATGCCCGCTTTCTTGTATGAACGCTGCACACGGCTGTTATTACTTGGAGCTGCGTGAAGGCGTGAAGGTTCAACATCTCCTGAGATGTCCTAGTCACAGTCTTGATGACTCACACTGGCTAGGGTTAGCGTCACGCACGCTGCACGTCCGTCAAGTGTGCATCATGATCTCCTGTACCAGGCCTTGGGATAGGATGTCTGAGGTATACTTTTTTGGCAGTATTGCAAAATCACTCAGCGGGGTAAGCAGCTGCACCTTGAACCGAGAGCCCGGAAGGATGAGCAATGCAGCGCTCACATGCTTGGCTGGACGCTTCGGGGGCAGGGAGAATGCCTTGGCTCAGGGAAGATGTGAAACCGTTGTCCAAAAGGCTTCACGCGGTGCGAGCAAGAAGTCAACTTCGGCTGCGAAGGCAGGAACTGGATGGTGGGCAAACAAGCTAACCTTGTCGAATGACGGCATAGCATACATGGTACGAAGAGACCGTGGACGGACAGCCCCATGATCATCCGACATACGCAATACTAGATCCACACTGCTGATCATTGCCCACCGCAATCTTTTACAATCGTATAGATTCCTGTTTAGTTTGAAATCTTGTTTATTCTTGTCATTTTTTGCATTTGAATTCATTCCAGAAGTTGAAGTACAATATCTTCTTATATGATAGAAGATAAGTCTGGATGAACACAATAGCTCTGCTTTCGAAATGTCCTTGTTGCTTACATGCAACACCTTGTGTGCGGCAAACAAAAGTGGCATGCATGCAATAAACGAGTTTAACTTTCCTTGAGCGTAAGCATGCAGAATCGCAAGAGTCTGCAAACGGACAAAACGTTGAAGGGCAGGCACCTTCAGAGCTTTCAAGGAGCCACTGCTCAAATACCATGAGCTTCCCTGGAGAGGAGTTTCAGACCTCAGTCCTGTACATGAGTCCAAACGCAAAAGCTTGGCCCAGCCATCCTTGGGAGAGCTGTAGCTCGTGCAAGTCACATGGGAAAGGCTGTAAAGGCCCACGAATATGGATTTCTGCCGCAGACCACGAAGTTCTTCCATCTGGGAGTTTCCGTCGGTTAGGGTACTTTATTTTGGGGTGTCCTCTATTGGGGTCCCCTACTTTGGAAACTCCCATCTACAGCTTTGACTGACGACAACTTCGCAGCTGGGAGGTTGGAAGCTCCACCTCTTGCTTCGCGGAATCCTGGGTTGGGTTTCGGCGCTCACACTCGGACAATCCAGGCGAGGCATGGGTTTAGGGGAGTTCAAACTAAACTACCATAGGGGGGTATATTAGCAGTTTATGTGGCCCATATGGCTCCCCTATTATGTCAAGTTCAAGTGGATTCCGTAGCCCAAATCTACCTCTAATCTATTCCCAATATGTATCATTTATATACCCCTCGATATAGAGTTGATATAACACCCCACCCAAAAAAGACACATAATATATACATATATATATACAGATAGATAAACAGAATCTTGTCACCCACACAAAGATAGATAATATATAGGTTATATATATATATATATACATATATACATATATATACATATATATATATATATATGCTCACCCCCCCCCATGACAGACCGTCGTGGGGAAGGGGAAGGGTGGCGTGCGTCCCCAGGCAGGATCTGTCAACGGATAGGCGACAGACACTTCTCCCAAACTCAATTCCAAAATGTTCTTTTAGATGGTTTGCAATTTTTGGAAATTTCTTCACACGCATGCAGCGCTCCTAGTCCCAATCTTAATCTCAATTCTGCTCTTCGTACCACTATTACTGTTTGTAGATCTTAATTCTTGTATCAGTGTTAGCATTAGTATTAGTTTTGTGGTAGTATTGATATTAGGATGTTTAGTATTAGTAATAGTATTCGAATTAGTATTACTCTTAGTATTAGCATTAAGTATGTAAACTGATGTTAATAGTAGTAGTCGTCGTACTAGCAATAGTTGTCGCACAGTAGTAGTAGTGGTAGCATTAGTATTGGTATTAGTATTAGTATGAGTATTAGTATTAGTATTAGTGACTAGTATGAGTATCAGTATTAGTTTTAGTATTAAGTATGTGTAGTAGTAGTAGTAGTAGTAGTAGTAGTAGTAGTAGTAGTAGTAGTAGTAGTAGTAGTAGTCGTAGTAGTAGCAGTAGTAGTAGCAGCAGTAGTGGTGACATTAGTATTGGTATGAGTATGAGTATTAGAATTAGTAGCTAGTATTAGTACTAGTATTAGTGTTAGGATTAATATGTATTGTTCTTGGTTCTATTCTTAGTACTGCTGTCATTGTTTGTAGTAGTCCTAATCCTGGTATCAGTGTTCATATGAGTAATAGTTTTGTGGTAGTATTGATATTAGGATGGGTATTGCTTTAGTACTAGTATTGGTATTGGTATTTAGTATTAGTATTAGCATCAGTATTAGTATTAGTATTGAATAAAAGTATACATATCAATAATAGTAAATATGAACTCGTGATTATGTTCGTGCTGGTGTTAGTGCCAGTGTCGATGTCAATGTCAGTAATAGTACTCGTGTTAGTATTAGTATCAGTCTGAATGCTGGTTTTAGTATCTGTTTATTATTCACAGAAGTGCTGGTATTAGTATCAGTATTAGAAATAGTTTTGATATGTGAATATACTGATTGGTTCGTACATTTTGAGCTTAATATAATACAGTAATGTATTCGAACAATAGTATATTTGCATAGTTGAAGATTGCGCGAATATATTAGTACGTTGGTGCATGAGTACATTAGTATATTGGTGTATCATGATATTCGTATGTTAACGTAGTAGTATATTAGTATATTATTATAGTGGTCTATTACTACATTTACTATATTCGTATTTTACCTAATAGCTTATAGGTATATCAATATGTTGGCATAATGGCATGTGAACATGTCAGTATACTTGCCTTTTACAGTATTCGTATATTACACTAGCATATTTAGTGATAATTAGTGTTAATGCCAGTGCCAATATCGATGTCAGTTTTAATCAGTCTTAATGATGAATTTAACATCAGTGTAATATTCGCGGACGTGCTAGTATGCGTATCAATACTATAGTTAGTTTTGATATATTAGTATACTGATAGATTATATAAACAGCTTAGTATACCAACACATTATAATGTATTCGAACAGTAATATGTTTGTATACCTGTATGTTTGTATGCTCTTAGTATATTAATGCATGCGTACGTTCGTGCATGAGTACATTAGTATATTGGTGTGCTATTATCTTCGATTATTAACATATTAGTGTATGAGTATCCTGGTATGCTACTTCATTTATCATATTCGTATATTATCTAACAACTTTTTTGGTATATCCATATGTTAGTATACCATTGCCATGTGTCAGTGTACTTGCATATTACAGTATTCGTGTCTTAGCAAGTTAGCATATCAATACAGTATAATCAGACGTTAACAAGTAGTATATTGTCACGTTGGAAACTGGGTATATGACAAATTAAATACGAATATACTACGTTAGTACACGAATGCATTGATATATTTGCTTTTCAGATAGTGGTATGTATATCTGCGGACATTAGTATACGCAGGTGTCTGTTAGTATTGGCATTAATATCAATATGAATATGACTATTGGTAGGCGTAGGAGTATTAATGTTAATAATAGTATTAGTAATGTGCATATTCGTAATAAAAGCATGAATATAAATGTCAACGTTAGTGTTAAAAGCACTACACAGTAATCTTACTTGAGTCATATATAGAGCAGATTCCAGCATTTCCAAAAATTCCAAAATTTCCAAAATTCTCTCCCCTAACTTTCCGGATTTCCAAAATTTCCAAAATTTCCAAAATTGCCAAAATTGCCAAAATTTCCAAAATTTCCAAAATTTCCAAATTTCCAAAATTTCCAAAATTGCCAAAATTTCCAAAATTGCCAAAATTTCCAAAATTTCCAAAATTTACCGACCTAGTCGACAGAATTTTTTCCAAAACATAAGGGCGGACTTTTTGGAAATTTTGGAAATTTTGGAAATCCGGAAAGTTAGGGGAGAGAATTTTGGAAATTTTGGAAATGCTGGAATCTGCTCTATATATGATTCAAGTAAGATTACTGTGTAGTGCTTACTATGTAGCGTATCAGCACAACCCTCATCCATACACGTGTGCTCTGTAATTCCTTTCTTGGTAGGACACCCGCGCGCCTTATCGTGCTGCTTTCTGGTCTCAGTCTTTTGGTGGTTCCAGGGATACGTTCGGAGGGCTCAAACTCGATACCCCAGAAAAAGCACGAACACGCCGGTGGGAGCGATGTTTTGAAGGGGATGGTCTGTCATGGGGGGGGGGTGACCATATATATATATATATATATATATATATGGTCAGGCGTCTGGCGTTCCCACCCCCCCCCCCCCCGCATGGTATGGTCTGCTAGAGTGGGGGGGGGGGGGGGGGGGCTGGCGTGTGCAGGGGTCGGGGCTGTTGGAGCTGCCACTGGATGATGGGATGGTGCTGGCGGCCAGGGCTCACACGCAAGCCCTTCGCAAGCAAGCCGTAAACCCTGTAACGCAGCGCGTGCCCTTGTTTTGAGTAACCTTAAGTTGCACTTCCAACCCCACACCCAACCCTAAACCCCACCTAACTGCAGGCTCTAAGCCTAAAGCAGAACATACACCGCAAATCCTCCCTAAGCCCTTGTCGACTCGAAGCGTTATACCTTGTAACCATAAACCCAACACTCAAAAGCTTAAGCTAAGCCCTAAACCCAAAACCCCACAACCACCCCACAGGGGGAAGAGGGACCCCACACCCCACACCACAGGGGAGGGGGGGTCCCACCCTACATCCGGACCATTGAGCTTTGGGGGCGGAGCGCGTGACCATATATATGTGTGTCTCTCTCTCTCTCTCTCGTTTCGCCCCCCCCCCCCCGCGCATCGTATCCCCCCGCGCCTGGCACGCCCGGGTCCAAATATGCCGAAGCCGAATCCCTGTGACTGCGCGCACTTCTCCCACATGGCGGCTCCAAAACCATCAACTGTCACGAGGATCTCGTCCCAAACACCCCCGGTCTTTGTAACAGTGGACACTTTCCACCAGGAATGTGCCATGAGGGTACTATCGCGTTCCTGACAGGCTCGCTTCCTGGGTCAACAGGATGATGATGATGATGATGCGCAGCACCCGGGCGACCCAAACCGCGAACCACACCACGCCACAAGGGGGAGCACCACGGGGAGGCGAAGGGATACCAACGGGGGAGCGGGGGGGGAGGCCCGGCCAAACCGGGATCTCTCTCATAATATATATATATATATATATATATATATACATATATATATATATATATATGTACATATATATATATATATACACATATACATATATATATATATATATACATATATATACGTATACACAGACATATCTAGCCATATATGCATATATACATAGACATATATATATATATATACATGCCCTCAAGTTCCTGAGCAGCAACCAAGGAGCAAGGAAGATCCGCACGGTGGCGTCCAGGTTGGCAAGCTGAAGGTCCATGTCCAAAATGGACGGAACGGAAGTCATAGAGGCTTCCGACCTCTTGTCCAGCAAACCCTGTCTACCCAAGAAACATCAAGAAACCCTCGACACTCCCTCCCGATGTACCCCGATGGTATCTCTAAGTGCCCTTATTGGAAAACCCTTTTGCAACTGGCTTGCAACATCACGCCAGGACACCCTATATAAACCGTAAACCTTAAACCGTTACCACGGAGCCCTTCCGCCTCTGTGACCATGCGGTGGCGAGGGGGATTTCAACCACCGTATCGCTAACGATGGCTGGGACCCAACCAGCTCCACGACCCAGGTAGGCTTCCACCTGAAGGGGGGTTATCAGCATATCTAGGGTCTACAGGGTTTAGAAGGCTAAGCAAGGTGTGTCTGGGAGTCGAACAAAGGGTGTAGAGGGGCAAGAAAAGGGGCATTTTTCCCTCCTACCTAGAATCTTGGATGACCATTCGAGAACAGCTAAGATTTCATAGCCGACATCCTAAATCTGCCTCAGACATCATAAAGGGGCATAGTGTGGGGCGCTAGTAACTGCTCGCACCAATGATCGCCAGCGTAACATAAAAATGCTCCTGGCATGCAATGGACATAATCTGGACAAGAACCTGTCCTCAAGGCCCGCCGCTTTTTTGGTTGGTTTTTGACCCCGTTAAGCCTGCCGACAGAATTCTGATATGGAATCGGTGTACCGATATACCCAATACACCCCAACAAACCAACCCTTCAACATCCTCAATAAGCACTCTCAAACCCCCCTCTGCAGACCGCTTTTCAACCCAGGCCCTTCTGTTCCACCTGCTCGCCCGCCAAAAACCGACGTCGAAGCATGGTCAAAGGAACCTCCAGGTCCTGACTCTTCTGGTCCTCGAGCCTCCCAGGGACCCTAAACCATAAAAACCCTAAACCCTAAAAACTCAAACTCTGAACCCTAAACCTAAAACACCAAAAACTCTGAACTAAGCCCAAACCCTAAACCCTAAACCCAAGGCTTATACAGGCCAAGGCTTAAGGCGCTCGAATCTTTTCGTCCCTGCGCCTCACCCGGAAAGTCCAAAGGTGTGGCGGGCGGCGGATGGGCGGCGTGGTCCGTACCACTCCAGGGGTCCAAGCCTTCTGCGGGTAGTTGTCGGGTATATACATATGTGTATATATATATATATATATATATATTTATTTATTTATTTATTTATTTATATATATTTACATATTTATATAGATAGATATTCATATCGATATCGGGCATGGCAGGAGCACGAAGTTTAATTTCATTAACTTTTACTGTATGCTAGTTTCCTATTCAATTTCCAATGAAATTGGAAAAATGGAATTACTGGATACATTGACTGAACTTGGTTTTATCGGATTTGTCCGGATTCTACGCACTGCAAGCGGAGGCTTTTCGCCGGCCTTCGCAGAATAAACCTCCACGTGCTCGCCCGCCTCCAGTACCGGTCGTAGGGCTCGCAGAGGTACAGCCTGTACACTCAGCTATAGCGCCAGCTTTATGCCCCTTAGGTCCAACATTCAAAACAAAATAAAAAATTGCTAAGGAGACACGGTGGGCAAACGCTGACAGGAGAGTGTTGCTTTTTTGGTCTGTTGAAATCCCACTTGTACATTGCATTGATCTGACAATTTCAAGCTGCGAATGCAATGACCTCTGCAGTTTTCGTGAATATGAAGCTCTCCCTTTGGTTTACGACGTGACTAGACACTAGTGACCCCCAAGTCCTTTTCACGGCGGTCCTGCCTCCCTTAGCTGGTTTCGGACGCCGATACGGCAAGCATAGGAGGGTAGCTCGCTCGGGTCGTCGCTTCGGAAGGTGCCTGATCGGCAAGGCTGTCAGGGCTCAAGTGAGGTGCAAAGCAGTGGCTTGTTTGAGGTTCAAGGTTTGGACGTTTTTTTGTGCCTGGCCCTGCAACTCTAGCTGGCACCATGCACGCCAGAGTCGAAGAAAAGTACAGGACCCATTCACCTTCTCGGTAGGCTTCACACGGAGGCACATACACGAAGCCATCCAGCCCCGCAGAGACAATGGAGTCGGTCTCCAAGAAGTAGAGATCATCCACCCCTGCGGAGATGACGTCCACTGCGTCATCCAACCCTGCAAGCACCAGCTCGTTGGCGAGCTCGGTCTCCGAGGACTCTCTCTCCAGCTGAGCACCTAGCTTTGTGGATGAAATGCTGCTGCCATGGTTTTCGGAATGCGTTGTTCATGGGAAAGAATACGGAAACTGCAGTGTTTTAACAACAAACCAATTTTATCAGTAGCACTGGAACATGAAGATTGCATAAACCAGCTCCTGCCTGCATCCACATTTGCAGAAAACTTCGGTCGAACCGTCTCCCGAAGAGGATCTCGATAGGAGTCGGCCGAATCCACCTTCCATTCACAGGTCAGTTGGCACCGATAGGGCAGGAAAGGATTCCTATAGGAGCCCCTCCAAAGAGTCGTTTATGACAGTCTCTGGAACTAGCTCCTCTACAGTATTCCCGGCTGAGCACCATCCTCTAGTCGAGCTTTCAGGGGACTTTAGCATGCTTGAGCACGTGAGCTAAGGGGCAATGAAGAGCAGCATAGCTTTCCGTCATAGGCGCCTTGTGCTGAGGTGGCCCGATGTTGAGGTTCACAACAACCTGACGGCGGCCCCGGCGCAGGCAATGTAGGTCTTCCAGTATGCTGAGGTCCTCCTCCCACCTCACGTGGACCTTTGGCTGGGCTGGCCTCCCCTCCTCATCCACTTCGCCCGGCAGGTCGCTGAGTTTAAAGGAAAGTGTGCGTGCCTTTTCTTTGCGGCCATGCGCAAGCTTCCGTGCCACCAGTGTGACATGTCCGGAGGTTGGCTTCCGCACGCGTCGGAGCAAAACAATGCAGAGAAGCAAACAACATATAACTGCGAGAGTGATGCAGAGCACCACAGCCCCTGCATAGCTTTCTACGTCGATGAAGACTCCTCCCCCAATGGCCCGGTCAAAAGGTAGCGTCTGGAGGAGTGCAAAGAGGGATGTGTGTGTAGTCCGGCACCAGGAACGGTTGATGCTTTCGCCATGAACCTGGAAACCACACTGCCCGTCTTACAGGCAGAACAATGTAACACTTCACCAATCCGGAGCTGCAAGTACAATCTAGCATCTAGCATCCTTAGGTGTTCGGAAATACCCACTGCTAGTCCTCGTAGTGGGCCAAGAAGTCGATTCCCTCTTCGGACCAAGCACCCAGTTCGGGGTCGAAGAATCCACACCTGCAAGGAAGTTCCAGCTAAGATATGCTAAGATGAGAACCAGAACAATAATCTCATGACGGTCTGGGCGTGGAACTGCCCTTCCTTGCAAGATCTTATAGGTTGAGCTGCGCAGTAGAAACATTAGCATAAACCAAGCTACCTTTCGTCCTCAAGCGGAGCGCGGGAAGCGATCGAGAACACGATGCCCTCGCTTCCAGAAACGTTCAGAAGAGTCAAAGCTCCAGCATTCTCGCTGATGAAGGAGAGCTCCACAAGCCGCGACAGCAGAACCACATCTTCTCCGTCAACCCCCTGCGAAGCAAAGGCTGGAGCTAGCTCCGGCGCCACCTCTGTGAAAACCATCATTGCGTTGCCACTTTGGAGCAAAGTCTGCAGCAGGCTTGGCGGAAGTATGATCTTCATGGGCAAGCTGTCTTCGCTTGTGTTCAGTTCCAGCACCGCCGGGTGTGTCTGTGCGGTCAGCTTCATCGCGGTCACTGCCCCAACTGCTGTTGTCGTGCCATGTAAGTCACCATCCTCGCAAATGAACTTTGTAGCAGCCTCCAGCGATTTGGACAAGATCTCCCCATGCGTGCTTTGCATAAGGCTGTCAGGAAGTACAACCCTCGGCAGCTCAAAGGATGTATTGCAAGCGTTGGACCACGACGAAGTTGTACCGCTCAAATGCATGGTAGATGTCGAAGTGCATGGCGTCTTCGTGACTGAAGCTGATGTAGCTGTAGTCGTGGTGGTTGAGGAAGAGACTGCTGTGGAAGAGGAGCTGAACGAAAGTGTAGATGTTGAGCTGCTTGTTGATGTTGAAGTCGTAGTTGACACTGAACTGCTTGTTGATATCGAGACTGTACTTGAAGTCGAGATGGTGTTCGAAAACGAGGCTGTGGTTGAAAGTGTGGTACTAACTGTGGCGGATGTCGAACTGCTTGATGTCGATGGGAGCGTAGTGGTGGCTGTGAACGAGGTGCTTGTTGACAAAGATGTAGTGGATGTCGAGCTGCTTACAGTCCCCGTAAGCGAAGAGATCGTGGTGCTTGTGGTGCTTGACGGCGATGATGTCAATGACGTAGATGTGGTTGAAGACTCTGTGGCAGTTGAGGTCGTGGTGAAGGTGGCTGATGAGCTGCTTGTGGAGAGCGATGCTGTCGACGTTGAGCTGCTCTCAGTAGTCGCGCTAGAGCTAGATGAGCTGCTTGTGGAGAGCGATGTTGTCGACGTTGAGCTGCTCTGAGTAGTAGCGCTAGAGCTAGATGAGCTGCTTGTGGAGAGCGATGTTGTCGACGTTGAGCTGCTTTCAGTAGTCGTGCTAGAGCTAGATGTGAACGACCAAGTTGAGGAGCTTGTGGTGACCGAGGAACTTGTGGTGATCGTCGATGTTGTCACAGGGCGAGTAGCAGCAACAGTAACGACGATCAGATGTTCGGTCCCAGAATCTCCGTTGCCACCAGCATTCTGAAAGGCCTGGGCACCAATGAGGTACGTCCCCGGCGATGGCCCCCAGTCGTGATAATTACCTCCACTATCCCCAGCCAGGGCATAGGGTGGATTGGTCTCAGTTCTGAAGTGGCCTCCGTTGACTTTGAACCGCACGCTTCCGACACTGTGAACGGTAGTGGCGGCAACATTGATCTGTGCAGGGAGCTCGTCCAGGTACAATGTAGTCCCAGACTCAAGAGGGTCGAATTCTGCAATTACAATGTCGTTGACCGCATCCACCAAAGCCATCTTCTCAACAGCTAGGGTATCTGCACGGCTGTAGGTTAAAGCAAAAAACACAAAAGCGACGATCCTCCTCGCAACCGCTGATGGAGGCAGTCTAAGCATGGAGGTAGCCTTCTCCCGCTGCTCTGTCGCATCGCCATGAACAGCAAATGCTCTGTTTCACTGTCGGTGTTTACCACTGTCAAACCTGCATGTCAGCTGACGCTGGCATGTTTCAAGGTCATAGTTTGCCAGACTCTCTGGCCTTAGCCCGGTTCATGTCTAGCCCCTGAGGCTTTCGTGTACCCGAAGGGATGCGATTGCAGATTTCATTCATCTCTATTGCATGCACAGTTGTTCAACTAATTACAGTATCGCCCCCTAGCGGCCCGGAGCCACATGCCACGCGGGTGCAAAGTCATGAGTCCCTGGGCACTGCGACTGACCCAAGTAACCCGTTAGAAGCACTAAACCCCCCTAAGCCCAACCCCTGAACTTTAATGCCACCCTTAACCCAATACAAGTACCACATCCTGCAGCAGCGTGTAAACACAAGGACCACGTGGAAGTTTCATAGCGGTAGAAGACTACTATATACTGTAACTGGACACTAACATAAGATAGCTACAGATTACAATGTGCAATAACGCATACAGATTACAAATGAATATTCTAGAATACTGCAGACGATGCATGCCACTCAGCATTCATGTCTGAAACCTCTCAAAACATCTAAATGCATGCTGGAACCTCTGAAATATTCATCTGCGACTGGCCTGCACGCCCTCCGCTCGTGCAAAACCCTCACCGGCAAGCTCAATAGACCGCACGGTATCGTAAGTCCAACTTAAATCATGTCGGATCAACGGGGCAAGCGTGCAAACGGGTGCGGCAGCCCATACTTTTGTGCGTCTGAGACCTGCTCTTGTAGCTCGACTTTGGAGCGCAGCTCTAGGACTCGCGGAGCAGCTGAGCGGCAAGTGCCGCGCCAATTCTCTGTGCGACGCTTTGCTGCCTTTGCTACACTCGGCTGACCATTCCAGAGGCAGAGCTCTTCGTGCCGCGCATTGGCGAATCACTTGGTGAGCTTTGCACGCTGCGGCCGCTCCCTCGACCTCTGCATGTCAAGTACAGGGTGGAATAGTTACAGTCAGAGTTCTGCGATTCGACACAGGCCACCACCGCTGGCGGATACTCAAACATTGACCGTGGACAGATGTCGCTTCTCCGTCAAGGCTCTTCACTTTCGGCTCTGCGTCACGTTTTTGGAAACTGTCATCTCTCAGGGCTGAGCTATTGGAGCTGCTGAAATGGCCTCGACTCCAGCTCGACTCTGTCCGAGCAAATGCTTCCACAACCCGACCTAAACACCCTTCAACTCAACAGTGCGAACATGTTTGCTTCGATTCAGGCTCAACTCAGACCTTGACTTCGGCTGTGGCTTCGAGCACGGCCCTCCACGCGACTCCTGCGGCAGAAAGCAGAATCGCCCCAGCCGCACTCCGGCTGGCTGGGGTTGTGCCCATGAGTGCAAGTTCAGTCCAAGCAACATGTCAGATGTCTACACGAAGTCAACATGAGCGCATGGGGCGAGTTGCCAGTTGCACCTGTGGCACCAGAGTCGGCTCGGCGGTTGCCGGCTCTGTGCATCGATGCGATTGGAAGCTCGGGATGCCGATCGAAGAGCGGATGGCCGGCAGAAGCTTGGAGGGTGCAAGGCGGGCAGAGGAACAGAAGAAGCCACTCTATGAAAGGAATGACGCCGCGACTCTCCCGACAGCAAGTTCACGCGACCCTCGCCTCCGATGTAGCGAGGGGCCGATACGACACACCTGAAGTCCGCAAGGCATCACTGCGGCCTCCGGTTGGGCAGGCCGCGCTTACCCGGCTGCTGTGCAAGTGGGCCCATTGGCCTCAAAGCCATGGAGACAAGAGGAAACGAGAGTGGGATGCACAATCCATGTACATGCACCGGCTATGTGCGTCATATCGAATCAACACGCACAGGCTAAACGAAAAACATACTTGGGCCCCTGCAACATGGGAGCGTCGTCGTCATCCAGGCAGCTTAGTTCTTGCGCCATGGCCTGCAGCAGGTTCTGAATACCACTATAAGGTTGTCAGGAAAGCTTCAATACTCCGGAAAGGATGGTGCCTCCCACTTGTCTTGGGTTGCACCACCTGCGACGGGAAACATGGAGGACCAGTACTTCTTGAGGTTGCTACAAGTATCTTCGTGCAAAGCCATTACTTTTGGTGCCAAGGCGACGCGGTGAATACCCTGAACCCGAACCGTCACCTAAGCCTCGGATCAAGTGGAACATCTGAACGCAAACTGTGATTCTTACTTACTGTAAAGGGAACATTCCTTAGGTCTACAGTATCAGTGGCCAGGGGACAGCGTCGCAGCGCACTCTCTGTCTGACATGCCTGTCTTTTGCAGCCTCTGGGCAGTGAGGGGCTGGCTCTCGCTGCCTGGGCTGAGACAGCATCCGAGCTTGAGCTGCAGGAATTCTCAATAATTCAACGTGCTTTCCTGCAGTGGTATGGGCTACCTTCCCGCCACGCCGAGCCATCAGACAAACTCTCTCCTCCCTGGGAGTGCTCATCAACCGCAGTTGCTACAAAACACCAGCAAACCACACCAGTCAGCGAGGGGGAAAGTGTAGCTTGGCCTATAAATTGAGGAGGCAGCACGAGCACACTGGACAGTCATCTGCTTATCGCGCAGACCATACAGGCGTCTCTCATATCCCATTGCATTCACCAACACTTACTGACTTATTTACGCCTGCAAAAAATTGGATTGCTGCGCAGGCATGCATCCTCGGCAGAAAATATGCGCTTTTTGTTTTCCGCTCACGGTTTGCGCAGGATCAGCAAGCCGCTGCCATGTCGCAGCCGTCCGGAGCTCTGGTTCCTAGGAGGATTTGCAGGTCTGTTGGGTTCGATGATGCTGGGCTTGCCTAGCCCCATCTGCCTAGCCGCCCCAAGTGGGATTGCCTGGGAATTCTGCGTACTTCGAGGTCGGAGTCAGTGTGTTCTTGTCCGGATTCTACAACCACAGGGCCTGGCAGAAGAGACACTGAGAAGCTTCATGTCAAGGGATTCATGAACGAAATAGTCGGACATGCATTCGACAACATGATGAATCTGGCTGGGATCAAGAAATTGTCCACGAAGAAGTAGGGAGCCTTGCCGACAATGCCTGTGCAGAAGCCGCGGAAAGGGAGGCTGATGGAGGAGGCCGCAAAGCATTTGTCCGTCTCTCCAGTTTTGCGTCGGGCGATGTCGGGCGCGACCACTCGCTTCTACGGCCGATGGCAAGCAGGCCTTCGATGGCAGCAGATGCTCGCTGCAACATAGGCTTGCCATCGTTAATGTCCTCTGACAGGCTCGGACATCCACACGCGCTCTCACGCTCACACACACACACACACACACACAGAGGCTGATTTGCATGCCAAGTACTTGTACCGTGTGACGCGTTTCTTCCGTCTACAATACTCTACCTCACTCGCGAGGGTTCAAAGACGACAATACGAAGGAAACTCTCTTCGGCAATTCTCCTCAATGACAAAGATCCCTCCGCGCTTTAGCCAAGGCCACAGGCTGCCAAGCCTTGGTCAAAGCAGAAAGACTCACGGACCGGATGCACATATCGGGGCTTTGCACATGCACTTCGGTCACTGTCACACGAGCCCATCGCTGCATCCGTTCCTCCTTGTGGGCATCCAAGACTAAGATATCGGACATGGACATCTGATTGTTTACACCCTTACCTGGTCTGCTGTGATGCTGCCTAGGCACGTTGCTATCTGTGCCTCTGGCGAGTGCAACCCATCGTCCACCATAACCTCGCAAGAACTGCTGCAATGCTGTAGCTGAGTGGTGGTGGCGGCGTTGGTATAGCAGCGGTAGCTATTTGGGAGAACGAGAAGGTTTCCCCAACTGTGACAAGCAGGATCCTGCAACACTAGGCTAGGTCTCGCTTCCGGTCAGTAAATCCTTATGGGTTTCGTATTGAGCATTGACGGGGCTACCGGCTGCACTTGCATGCGATGTGGGCTACAGTAGTCACTCCAGGTCTCCTGGGCAACCCTCACCATACGTCATTCATTCGAGCTCGTGCTCTCTGAATGAGCCACGAGCACGCGAACAAATTTCTGAAAGCGCTGCTGGCATCACACGAGTCACGACCACCTTTCTCTCTCCCAGAGCATCCTCAGCAAGACCTCCGGGCCACTCAACTTCGCCAAGCCTTCAACTTCGACCATTTGGGAGCAGCTAGGTCACATCGAAGACCCCGCGAGGTGTGCCAGGGCCAGGAGCGCTGGCAAAACCCCAGGACTTCATTACCTGGGTTCTCGCGATGCGTGCTTTGGGGACCCGAGTGGAATGCAAGCGGACAGCGCGGCAAACGTCCCCAGATATAATTCAAGTGCACTTCCGGCCGAGCCAAGAATCGCTGAAGCTAGAAAGATATGAGAAAGCGATGGTGGACAGATGCACGGGGAAAGCTAAATGCATGCAGCTGCCCTTCGCAGGAGGTGCTGGCTACTTCACGGTCTATGGTGTGTGAATCTGACATGTGCGCAGCAGGATCGTCTCTTCTGTCTTACAGTGGCATGCTTGCTTCCGTAGCTTGTGAGGTGTATCAACACCAACCGCAGGAACAAGTGGATGCAAGGACAGTCAAGCAGCTTCACAACATGCGTTCGGAGATGGTTCACTGGAACTTCGGCTGGTCTGCGCAGGCTCTCTTGTGCCGCCAGTTTGTGTTGCAATGCTTTGTGTCTCTCATGAGTTCAGCAGGGAATGCCACGGCCACAGCATTCGCCGCTCCAGCCAGGTTACGGAGGCCACATGCCCTTCGTTCGCAGAGTCTGCAAGTGCGCTCCGAATCCGGGCCTTGCAGCAGAGAATTGAAAGCTGAGACTATATATTGCATCATTATATACATAAATATAGATCATCTACAACATATTCCAAGATTAAACGTAACTCAGGCAACACGAAATCTTTGGGGCAAAACTGGTGGAGGAGGGCTCGAAACTCCCAGCTCCATGCATGGAGTCCCCCAAGCCCCAGAAATGGCACCTCACCGCGCACCATGGCATCCTAGGGGAACAGGTCGGCTTGTGATGAACAGCGAATGCTTGTCTCGCTGTCTGGTTATAGTCTGACTACCTACAAGTAACACTCCCCAACTCTGCCCAGCATCCGGCATCACATCCAAACCGTAGATAAAGGCCTGAGGCGTTCAACTGCTTCACCAGCTTTCAACCCGCGATCGCATCCGCTTCCTGATACTCAACGGGCTGAAACTCAATGCCCTCCCAAAAACACATCCGATTTCCACCTGGGCATCGCGTAGCCAGAACCGAAGCCCAACCACACCATACCTCACCTTTATAGGGACCTAGGCTTAGGTATATATCCAGTAGGCGCAAGCACTGGCATAGTGGCTGATCTGCGAGAAACAGGGTTCAGAATGCTTCAGGCTCGACGCGTACCAGTCATTACCAGTCCTCTGCAGTCAGTGTCAATGAGCTGAAGCAAACGACCCGAAACTCCAAAGTCTGAACAGCGCCTGGGGAAGGTAGTCCCTCCAGGCTCGCAGGGATCCGCCGGGCCGGAAACCGGGCCCCAGGCCTCGTCGATGACCACAAACGAAGGAAACGAAGATCCGGTGTCCCAAAGATTCCCAAACCCTTGCACAGCCCTCCGACCCGAACCGGTTCGACGCCTGCCTGCCATGGAGCTCAATGAGTCTGGATTTTGCGTGCCCAATCCCACTTCGAGCCTCAGCTCGGGGGCTCTTTGTCGGCTTTGCCGGGCATGGGCTTTCAAGGCTCACAGCTCACATCTACCCCCAAACTTGGGAAGGTATGATGAAACCGCGCCGGGCAGCAGCCGCTGAACCTTCAACGGCTGGAGAAGCACTTCGTAGATGGGGCAGTAGCCGTTCCTCGGCTGCCGACTATCTTGCACATGGACACTATCTCACGCGTGTCCGCATGATGGACGGTTTTTCGCATTGCCGGGCATTGTGTCTCTCAAAGCTCCCGACACCGTCTCTCGCTGCGGGGCAGCTACTTTCTTGTCGAGAGCGCCCGACGAGAGCACACCCAGGTGAGCACAAAAGCAGTCAGTCCAAGCATGTGCTGATTGCCGGAGACTTGTAGCTTGGCTAAGACTTCCACGGTGGTTCGACGAGGTTGGCGATAGGTATGTCAATGACAACAGCCGGGTCGTCTCGGATCCGATGGTGAATACCCATGACAGACGCTGCATTCACGAATGTCGTCGGCACGTCAATGATATCAGTCACAGAGGCGTTCGTTGCAGGAAATTTTGCACCCAACTGAATCCCCTTCTGCTTGTGGACATGGCCAAAAACATGAAAAGAAGGGGCGCGACCGCTGCTGCTGCTGCTTGAAAGTGCCTGCACGAGTGCCTTGGAGCCTGTGTGAACACCGAGGAACCTGTCAAGGACGCCATAAGGCGGACCGTGGGTGATGAAGACATCCAGTGGACCAGCATCCAGACAGCCGCAGAATACTGCAAACTGTCGCTCTTCGTCGACTGCGAAGGCTCGCATTGAGCTGGCGGCAATCACGTCAGTGTGTGGTGCCCCGGCGATGTGAAGGCGAACTTCACGGCCGGTGTTGGCCCCGCGGTCGAGTCGGATGGCCAAGGTTGTCCTTTCGCCCTCCAAGTAAACCGTTGCGTTGCTGAGCAAGCGTTGCCGTACTTGCCCGCGCCACTCCGCGAGAGCCCGGAGCCGGCTCTGTGAATCTACGTCCGATCGCGGCAGTTCCTGTTCCAGTTTAGGTGGGCTCCAGTCATTCTGGAATTCTGGCCGTGCATGCTCGGCTCTCCGTTTCTTCGAAGACATGGCGACATTGGCATGATATGTCTCCGGATCTAGAATCAGGTCGTGGTTTCCAGCTATGACGATGCGATGCTGGTGGGGAAGCAGCCCCAGCCAGTCGTTAAAGGCGCAAACTTCTTTGGCCGTTCCATCTACTGTGACATCACCACAATGAACAAAGACATCGCCAGCCGGCACTCGCGCAGCCTCTGCAGCATTCCGCAATGTATTGTGCGTGTCGGACATGACGATGATTCTAACGGCCTCGCCCGATGCATACAGGTCGTCGTGTGACAGCACCGCGAAGGCTTCCGGCGCGTACTGCGCTGCACCGGTCTCGCCGCTGAAGTGCTGCCCCATGAGAACCACCCGTGAATGGAAAGTAGATTTGGAACGAAGAATCGAACCGCGAGCACAATGAAACTGCTGAGCCAAAATGCAAAAGTATGTCGGTAGAATTTCAACATGGTCTCTGAACCCCGCCGACCGAGGCACGACGACGAGGACCCGACACACTCTTCATACGATTCCAGGACATCCCACCCCTTCTGAATCTGTCTGTTCTCGTTCGCCCCTGGAACGAACGGGGCCAAAGCCCCAAAGCTCACAACAGGCCAGCGGTTCGATGTGCATGTTGGGAGTTCCCTCGTTCACTCTCTTTCTCTGCATCCGCTCTTCTCCTTTCTGCTGCGCAGCTGTGCACGAGGATCCCTAAGCTTTCACCTGCGACTTGTGCCACAGGGAAGCACCGTACGTACTGCACTACGCCCAACCCTCACTACCAGGGGGCTAAAGGGCAGTGGCCTGTTCTGATGAAGTGACATGCTGACTGATTTGATCGACCTTGCATGCTCAGGGTGAAATCGTTCGTCTTGCACAAACTGGAACTGCTTGCATCTTAGATTCTGAGCCTTGTCTGACCCAGCTTCCAGCATGAGCTGGCTGAGAGGAGCCTGTACCACATTAGCGGCACGGGCACGATGAGGATCGATCAAGTACCAAATCCTCTTAAGAGACATCACCAAAACTGCCGAAGTCTTCGTTCCTCAGCCTGACCACGGCCCTGAGTTGCAGCTCTTGCTCTCGCGCCTTGTCTGCACCATTTGGGCCTCCGGGCTGCTCGGGCGGAGGAGGCGTCTCCCAGATCTGCCAGGGCTCGGGCTCCGCGCCTCGGCTGCCGTCGCCGCGCGCCGCAGAGATGCGCGCTGCAGAGATTCGCTGAATTCCGCAGAACATGATTGTCCCCTGATCCGCCGCCGAAAGACTGCTAGCCGCTGGCTTCTCTTTCGCCTGGCTTTCCGAAGTCTATCTGGAGCACATACCATGTCAGTTTTTTTCAGAGGTCATCGGCCGAATTATGCCCATTACGTGAAGAGTCACGGATTCAATGGGGTGGGCAGATAGGGAAGCAGCAGAAACTACTGTTCCCTGCTCCGAAACCCTCAAAAGCACGGCTCTCTCCTGATCTTCGCTCGGTCATGTTGTGGGAGCCCAACTTACCGCTCGCTGAGGCACAGCACAGTTCCCAGTCGTAGTCTTGGGTCCAGCATGTAGTGTTCGACTTGTCGTCACAGCAATCGGCATAACCTGACAAAGTCTATCAGGTGTCGGTCATGTCAACAGAGCACCCGGGGCACCGTATTGAGATGTTGCTGGATTCCTGCATGCTGGGCAGAGGTGTCCCGATCGCAGCAGTGACAAGTAGATCTGGTTTTGCAATTTTCGACACCTTCATCGTAAAATGCTGAAACCCTGAAGCCCGAGCTTTTTGCTCCCTGAACCTCCCACCCCTATGGGCCTATACGACTTGAATGGAAGCTCGGGTCGAAGAGACGAGCGTCTGGGGATCTCTCTTCTGCCAAGCTTCGAAGGGCCTCGCTCCAGCCTCGCTTGTGACGCTTTGATACCGAAACTCCCTTCCCTGCCTTCTCTTCCCATCTCTTGGCACGGCCGCATTGGTACTGGAATGCACTGTCGCCTTCTCTCAATCATGTATATGCTAGATATGTCGGAGAAACATGCGAATGACACTGTGCAGTGTGTACGGGAGTGGAGTGGTAGGAGGAGAACTGCGCAAGCCGCGGGTCGGCACGAAAGGCTTGCACATGCAGCGCAGACGTCCGCAGCACTGCAGCGATGTTACGAGTCGCTCATGCTTGTGTGCTTGCTACGGGTTAAGCGCGAACCCCTCTTCTTCAAGCAGTCTTTACGGCGAAGGAAGGCCTCCCTTCTTCGTCTGCCACTGTAATTATCCTCTGTTGCACCACGTCCCTGTTGCCTATATCTGTGTATGTACATGTACCTATCTGCTAAGTTTTATCACTTCTCTTTACAAACGGACAGGTGAGTAGACCTTGGGAACAGAGAAAGAGGAAGAGAAATGCTTGTGCGCACACACACACACACGTGTGTAAGCGAATCTGTAGATGCGCACTTGTTTTCAGTTGGGGAGATACACGTGCAGTTGTATGTCACTGTGTGTCTATACTATACATGTACAAGCTCAATAAGCATTACTGTTGGTTCGTTAGCCTCCGAACTGTCTGAACCCTAGCCACCCTAGCTCTAAACACCTCTAAGTCCGCGAACCCAACCAATCCTGTCAGAGCATCCTCAAGCCCCTACGAGTAGCCTGGAGGTCTGACTGCATAATCCGAGCCCAGAAGCAGGCGGGATTCGGACCCTCAGGCGCTCCCCAAGACCTTGGGCGATGACAGGCTTCAGCGGGCCAACAGTGACTGAACACGGCTTCTCCGTGTGCAACAAAACAACAACCTGCCGTCCTTCAGGAGGATTGGCCCCGGGACACGCCGAGGCGGCAACGTACCAAGTCCCCACCAGGCAGGGCGCGGCTTTTGCGGGGCCGGATGCGCTTCCTCGATCTGCTGGAGTTTATCACTTAAGTTTGGGCCCAGGTGTCTGGCAGAACTAACTCTCACACAAAACTCTCAGGTAAGCAATCCTACCAACGATCCCTGTGTCACAGCATGCAACATGTCGTCGCAGCAGGATTCGGCAGTCGCAGCTGTGACGTTGCAGTCGCAGTGCGCTTGCTTGCGGCCTTTCTGTGTGGAGCTCGTGTGACTAATGTTCTCTTGTTGCTTGTCAAGCCCTCGAATTCACATCTCGCATCACTGGCTTGCCGCCCAGACGCCCCTTCTAGCCGCAGCCTCCGAAGAACCTTGCCGAGACTGAGGGCCTGCGTGTGCTCCACGGCGGCCAGAAACATGGAAAAGTTGATGTTGCCGGCAGCATCTGACTCCTCGACTCCAGGTGAGTTTCATTCGAGCATGAATGGTTGAGATCGCTGGTTTTTAGCAGACATGAAATTTCAACACCCGGGTCCCTCCGCCACCGTCTCTCCCATCTCCGGATGTTGCCTGAGAGGCTGGCTTCTGTCCAGATCCGGCTCCAGGTGGAGGAAGAGTTGATGCGATTGGGCGGAGGTTTGGATTGCTGATTCGAGCATGTCTTGCGTCACGACAACAAGCTGCATCCCGCAGGCACCTCATGGTTACATAGCTTCGGCAGCAGAAGTTGCTGAGCATCTTGTTTGATTTTTGAACCCGGAGCTCTATCCAATCACGCTCATCTTTATCGTGGGTAGTATTGACTGTCATCATGGACCCGTCCACAAGCTTGTCCTTACTGGAACTGGCCTGCCAGCTCCGCAGGCGCATGGCGCAGCAGCTGCGCCTGCTCCGAAGTGTCGAGTAGGAGGTTCCGGTCCTGCACACACTGAAGCCACCAGCTGCACTGGCACTGCACCTTCGAACGCAGATTCGTTGAAAGGCCGAAGTGGGAACTTGAGTCTGCGGGAGCCTCAACAGCATATCAGAGAACCCTGAAACAAAAAGGTCTGTATCTTTCTTGGACCCCATCTACAGCCGTTGAGCGGAACATGGTAAATTGCAAACTGGCCGGGGTTGAGTCCTGGTCAAGCAAATGGAAAAGATTTGTCAAGACCTTGGCCGACAACGAAAGCAATGTTAGAGCAATGCAATGCCGCTGTTCCGCTGAACATGCATTCTCTAACCTCACATCCTAATGGCCGATTCGTCTTCATATGTATATAATATAATATGACATACTATAATATAATATAACCTAATCTTGTAAACTATTTATATACATTCTTGATGCAGTGTCCCTTTTTCCTTTCATCGACGCATCCGTCGATAGTGCATTGGCATCTTCGGCACACGAAGTCCGCCACAGCTATCTCCAGCTATGCTGGTGCCAGCTACACGGGTGGACCCGAGCTGAAAACCCCTCCGCGGTAAGCTACGAGGAACTCCCACACACCGACGACTAGCTACGCGCGGACCCTGCAGACCAGGGACTCGAGGGTACACCCGCCTCACTGTCCGAACGAGGACAGTTCCACGACGTATACGCCCGGCATCAACAATGCCACTCCGCAACCAGGGAGCTCTCACAAAGAGTACACCGATGACCCTCAAAGGTGCAGAGAAAGATAAGGAGGGCAGAGCCCTGTATTAGGGTGGGAAGGGAGGGATGAAAAAGGAACTCCTGATCTCAGGTCCAATTTCTGGAGATGATATTTTGGCTTGATAGGAAATGGCAGCGGCATGCATAGGTCAAGCTCATGCTCAAGTGCAACAGCAGTGCCTAACACAGTTCCTACCAAGCAGACAGCACAAGAATGATTTCAGCTCACCAAGCCTGCCCGAAGCACTAAGCTGGGCAACATTCTTGATGCAGTGTCCCTTTTTCCTTTCATCGACGCATCCGTCGATAGTGCATTGGCATCTTCGGCACACGAAGTCCGCCACAGCTATCTCCAGCTATGCTGGTGCCAGCTACACGGGTGGACCCGAGCTGAAAACCCCAACGCACTACTCCCAATGCACTATCCGGCGAGGAAGGAGAAGATGATTGATCGCACCGAGAAAGAGAAGTTCCACAGGAAACACGGCACGGAGCTCTCGTGCACCTGGAATCGGTGCTCTTTGTACCATGGGTCCTGGAGGCCCAGCCTTGATATAGCATCGCTCCAGTTAGACTGGGACGGAACCCACTCGAACCACAAATTGCAACGCAAGTGGAACAAGAGGAGATGTACGCTCTGGGCGATGGCATCCAACTCGCGAGACTCGCTCCGCCCTTTGACCAAGGCCATAAGGGCGGCCACGTTGTCAACGTACCAGGTGCCAGAGGTTTCACAGAACAAGGCTGGAAAGCAAAGAAGGCCGTGTAGAATCATAAGGAGCTCGAGTTGCGCGATCTTCGTCTCCCCGTCGTCCCACAGGTTGAAAATTTCGTCGTCTATTCGCGCTACCGTACCCACACGGTGACCTGCAGGGGACACCACCAGGAGTCCACCAGAGCCTTGGCGGTACCCTTCCTGTGCGGCATCGCTTGCCGCTACAATGCGGCGTCGGCGCAAGGGGAAGACTGGAATCAATCGTTGCGGTCTCAACGCTAAGACGGCCTCAACTGTCTGAAACGCGTCCTCGATCTCGGACGTGACCTGGGACTCTTGCTTGGTATACTGCCGCTCTTTGATAGGATTGAGACCGGCACGCGCTACCCTCCCGAAGGCACCGTAGTCCAAGAACCCTAGACACCCAAAGAGCTTGGCAGCGGTACCAGGTCTGAGGCTAGCGGTGGCACGCGCGGTGGAAATGATCCCTTGAACTTTGTCGATGAGGCGCTGTCGAACCCAGACCTTGATGTCACCGGTGGTTTGGACGGTGGTGAGATCATGAAGAAGGCCAAGAAAGTCTCCAGTGGCTTCTGGCTTCTGACGCTTGGCTTCCGCGAAGGGGTAACCGAACATGGAAAACACCTCTTCGACCAGTTGCTGGCTCCGACCAGCAAGGAGGGAAAAATCCTGGCATGTGGCATCATCGAAGTAACAAGACAGCGGCAGAGCAAGGAGACGCCTTGTAATTGATTGCATGAGGAAAGGCAGGCGATTGAAGGCTGACACCGCCAACGGCAGTCCAAAGAGCATGCCGAAATATCTCCGGAAGCGCGGTTGCTTCCGGTGAGGATCGTAGTACGCTACGATACACGCCCAGCTATGATCTGGGTGAATGGGTATCTTCCGATACGCGTGAGGAAGGTCTTCTCCAAAAGTGGAGATTCCATCAGGCCAGGACCCGAGGTCTACTCCTCGTCTGGCCAGTGCTTCGGCAATTGCCTGAATGTGGAGGCAAGGCTGGATAGCACTACAGAATTGAAGGCGATTTCCGTCGGAGCTGAAATGAGATTGAAGACCGATGAATGCATCATCGATGCAACGCTTTTTGCCTGACGACTGGCTAATGACGAAGCGTCGGATGAGGCGAAAGGGGCGACGCAGGGATAGCAACTCTTCCCAGCCCATACTGGGGCCACAGAAGCCGAGGCGTTCGTCCTCCTCACCAGCTTCACAGGAGACTTCGTCGTCGGGACCCGGCTGAATCTGCCGGAGGATAGCGTAGGCATCTGCTTGCCCCTCCTGGAGGCAGTCATCGACTGTGAGTGGGACGGTAGGTCGAGACTGCCAGATGCCACAGGGGTGAACTTGGCCCACCGCCGGGAAGCCTCGCATAAGTCCTCTGCAGAAAGACGTGTCGGGCCAAGCTGTGACCGCAATGAGAATTGCGAAAAGAGCCAAATGTACCGAAGGGTTTACCCGCCTGACCTCAGGGTGCTGCAACTCACGCAAAAGATCAGAGGTGTGCGCCAACCTAGAGGACAGCTCGCGAAGGAGGGCAAACGCATCTTCTCGGTAGGCACGAACCGCTGTAACTCCTTCTGCCATGCGAGATGCTGCAAAGTGAATGTCCGGCTCGACCACTGCAGTCCAGTCCATCGGAGAGCCTGAAACCTGACACTGCAACGCTTTCTGGAAGTGGTCGTCTGGAGTCTGCCCGAAGGGAATCACAGGGGGCAACGCCGTAGCTCTGTTTACACAAATATCCTGTGATGACGCACTGGCTCGCTGTGCCATGGTACAGGATGTGCCGTATAGCCCTGGCCCCAGGGGGCCGTCAGCACAAAGATTCTGCTCCCGGAGCCACCGGGGGTATGCCTGAAAAATCGGGGAATTGATGAGGTCCTCGATGTAAGGCCACTGAACGCGCTGCCAGCCTGGGCCGAGCAACAAATTGTGGGCAGCAGACACTATCGAAGCTTGGGAGACAGCGTAACCGATAGACGCAGGGATAGAAAGCCCCGTACCCACTGCAAAACGCAGCTTGTGCTTAAGCCTGTTGATGCTACCCATCCTAGCGCGAGGCTGGGGCATGGCGAAGGCCGCAATCAGGACATCACCATGGCAAGTATCGGCTAATCCGCAATCGCATGCTAGTCGCTTGCCCTGAAGCTCAGGGAGTCGAGAGGCGAGCGGGGATTGAAAGAGCCACCTGGAGTACGCAAACACTGTCTGCTCAGGGGTGCCATCGCGGCCGGCTTGGAAAGGGTTTTCCCAGCAAGTAACAGCAGTACGATGCGAAAAATGACTATGCCCGATGTACACCACGTCTTCTGGTAGAGGCATCTTGGGTTTCTGCACATCCCGGATACACACCCTAATCGGATTACCGGTAGCCGTCTCCAAACCTAAGAGTGCCGCCAGGGGGTCGAAAGACTCTTCCCGAATGGCGTCAGGCGGAACTCGCAAGACTCCTCTCCAGTCACCGGAGGTGTGTATGGGCGGGAGTCTATGTATGCGCAGCACAGCAAAACCCTGCTCCAGAGCCCAGTGCGAGGAAGCAGCCACAATCGTGAAGCAGAGACTCGGAGTGAAGTGATCCTCTTCGCAGAACTGAGGCTCAGCATATCCCTCGACCTTGGGGTTCCACTCATGCTCAGCATGTATATGTGCACACACATACTCAGGTACCTGAGACAACTGGGGGATGCAATGCCGAATGCACTGGAACTTCCGCCTAGCTGACATGAACACACAAGTGTGAAACCGGAAGTCATGCCAGCCTCCGGAGACCATAAGGTGCTGCTCACATGGGTCATTCCAGTGCAAGCTCCTGCCTGAACACTCCCGAAATGCTCCTCGACCATTCTGCTGGAGGACCTGCTGCGTGGCAAGCAGAAAATCAGATCGGGTGTTGGCATCAGCAACTCTGGTGGAGTCTCTAGATGAGAGATCTTGGATACCTCGAGGCTGGTTGGGAGACCTGATGGGCTTAGGGCACTGGGATCCTAAGGCGGGACCGCGAGCTTTGGTAGGGCACTCAAATGAAGCAGCTGCAAGGTGGCACTCCTGCAGCACACTACCGACGGCATGCCGGGCTTCATTCGTAACCAAATCAAAAGCTGAACTCAAACCCAAATCCTCAGGTAACATGACTCTCCACCCCGCGAGAGAAAAGGCACGGCTGAGCAAGCCACGAGGCCCGGACAGCAAATCCAGAAATACTGGTGCCTGGCACGGGGTTTCACTAACATGAACTGTGGATTCCCAAAAGGATTGCAACTCGGCAAGAAACCGTGGAAATTGGGTGTCCTGCAACTCAGGAACTGCCAAGAACGACTCAGCGCACGCGCTGTTTTCTGGCGAGTCGGGCAACTCCGACTCCGGATCCCAGGGAGCTCATGCCCGGGACAGGAAGCGGCAGCGGGAGCCTCCGTGGTCCGGCGAGCCGCATACTCGACCACTGCGGAATACCACCGCGCATCGATGCTTGCCCTTAGGGCAATTATTGCCCTCGGCCCTGCACTTGCCAGTCTGAAAATCAGGGCAGAGCTTGGTCCCATCTCGAAGCTTGGTGGCAAAGGAAGGGGTCGAGGGAGCAGATGCCTGACCCTGCTGTCGATCCCGCTTCGGAGGAGGTACGGGCGGTGGGGTCGAAGGCTCGCGCGGCAGCGCGGGCACCATCCAGTGCGAGTCCCTGTCCCGCATGACCTTCAGGATGACGGAGCCCAACGTGTCGGCACCCATGGAGTAGCGCTGGGCCCACTCCCCGCGCTCTGCCCTGTCCAAGTTCTCCAAATAGGAGAGGCGGGACCCCTCGGGCAACTCCGAGGTAAGCTTCTCAGCACGGTGCCAGTATTGCAGCAGAACACTGAAGGGCACAGCGACAAACTCAACACTGCGCTCCGCAGTCTCGGCACCCGCTGGCACCGGGTCGATGGCCACGGCCCCTGGGATTGCCAGCGCGTGCACATAGAGCCTGAGCTGCATCAGGTAGTTGTGCCATCCACGCGCAACCGCGGCATCGTCCTCGTCCGGCTTCTCGGCGATGTAGAGCGACTCACCGACCTTGCGTTTCCTCCCGGACCCAGCCGTGCGCTGGTTCATCACCGAGCGCAGGTCCCAGACATTGACCACATCCAGGGTACGCTTGGCGATGCAACGCTGGGCCTTGGTGATCCACTTGTCCGAGGGCGTAGCCTCCGGTGGGAACACCACATGATAGCGTTTCCAGAAGGTATCCCTGATGTTCGCCAGCTGCTGCGTGGGGAGAACATCCTCTTCCTCCAGGCTGACACTGACATGGGTGCCCCTATCCTCCCTCTGCTGCTCGGCCTGGCACACAGCATTCCAGGCCTGACGAAGGCGGGCCTTCTGCAAAGGCTTGTTGGACAACGACCCCTCAACTGGGGTGTAAAACGTGGCCACCAGCTCGTCATCATCCTTCACGAACCACCTGAACTCGGAGAGCGAGGTGATGCCGACCTTGAGAATCTGTTTCCTCAGAGGGTCTTCGATCTTGAACCGGTTGGCGAGCTCCTCGAAAATAGCCTCCGTAGTAGCCATGGCGCAAAAGGGGAGTCTTAAAGAAACCGACGGCACCTGCTACATGAAAGGGGGCTGCAGCAAACGAAGAAAAACATGAGCTCAGTGGCACTCACTTAAAGAACACTTCGACACGAGTCAACATTTTACTGATTCTCCGATCCTCGGTCGCGATCCCAGGCTACTCCCAGCAGACAAAACTCCTGAGCAAAAGCGATCCTCGCTGAAACCACACAGGCTCAACTGCCTAGGACTCAGCCAACAACTGGGTCAACACCCGAGTGATGGCATGTGCCTCCACCACTGGAGCCCGGTCCGGGTGGAAGCTGAGCAGAAGCTGGTGGTAAAACCTACGCCGGCTCTCAGGAGTGACATGTAGGGCCATAATGTAGAAGGAGAGGAGAAGCACTTTGGTATAAGGGGACTCGTCAGGGTCGTCCATTGCGTTCTGCAGTACCAAGGGCAACACCGGGGCAGGCAGATGGAACGAATACATCCCCGCACCCTGTGCCGACGTCCTCCGGTTTCCCCGGTGAGTGCTCCTATTGTCTCCAAAGTAGCGGTAATCACATCCCCGGCTGTGACCCACATTGTCCCGGCACCGGCCGCAGCAAAAGAGGTGGCCTCCATAGGCTGTGCGAGGGCAGCCTGGCGTACGGCAATGGGACATGATGCAGTCGGGGGTAGGGTCGAACTGGAGAAAGCCTGAGCAAAACTGAGCAAGCACGTTCATGAAAAATGAAACATGACAATGCACAAGCACTCAGAGCTGCAAGCATGTTTTGCGAGGGATCAGCAATCAGCGAAACCTGATGTTATTACTAAGCAGAAGAGCCTGCACTTTGGCAGGCAACATATTGGTACAGGTCCTGCACCACGGACGTCCCCAACCGATCGCCTCCAGGGGGTCGTCGCAGAACCAGGGCTCCTCACGAAAGAAGGAGGACGCATTGCTCTTGGCCTGCTTCCAAGAGCACGCCGGCTGCGCTCGGCCTCGTGAGCAACCCTCAGCGAGGGCGTGCACAGCGGCATTACGCTGATTCCCGCACACGAACCGCACCGGCAGCGCCACAGTGGGCTGAGGTGCCACGCGCGAGTCAGCTTGCCCGCGGAGCCACCGGCCCACATCACCGGCTCTCTCAAGGACCTTCTCAGGCTCAACTGCCCGCACCCGGCGGATATGCTCCACCGCTTCATCCCAGGACGACCCCCGGAGATGGGCCAGCAGGATCCCCGCAACACAGGGAGCACGGTGCACTCCAGCCATGCAGTGAACATAGATGGACTCCCCATTCCGCAGGGTGTTCAAAATGCACGGCTTGACCTGGCACCAGTCAGTGTACCTGGTAGGGGGGTGCGTTATCACCAGATTCCGCTGGAGGACGCCAGGGTGGATGTAGGCACCTTTATCGCGAAGGGATTCGCGAAAGCAGCTGATGATAAGCGCCACGTTGTGCTCGGTGAAGAGAGCTCGATAGGACTCTTGGGGAAGGCCGCCCAAGAGGACCACTGGCGTAGGACGGTCCTGCGAAAACCGAGCCACGATTGTGGGAGGTTCCGGCCGACCACCGTGGCCTGGGCTGTGCCACCGCTGCCGCCCCAGCCTGTCAAACAACTCCTCAGCCGACTCCACCGCCGGGGGGGCAGGACCACGAGATGAGGATGAGGCTGCATCACGAGAGGCAACTCGCCCAGACTCAGGCTGGTCAACTCCAACCCGTGGCCTCTTCTTGCTCTCAGGCTTAGATGTGGCCTTAGCAGCTGCCTTGGGCTGCATCCTCAACCGTGGCATGGCCTTGACCTGAACAACCGGCTCAACTGCAACTGGCAACTCAGCTGGCGGAGCCTTGGGCGGGGCGGACGGGGCTGGAGCTTGAAAGAAGGCACGAAGGGGGGACGGCATCCTGGAGCGCAAGGATCCCGGCGACTCCGGGCCTCGCAGCGAAGTGCTCGCCATAGCAGCATCGCTGGCAGAAGGCTCCAAAGGCAGAGGCGGCCTAAGCTTGCGAGTGGCCCGCTTCTTGGGGGTCAACTCCCCCAGGGGCTTCTTGGCAGCGGCAGCACGCCGCTTATTGAGGAGCAGTCCCGCCACCTGGGTCTTGATGCGGATACACTGCTCCCGCGTCATACCGTGCTTGCCCGGAAGGGAGTAAACCAAACCCTCACCTTCCTTAGGCAGGGCTGCCACAGCCTCCTCTGCACGGACAACAGCCTCCCGAACCAAGGTGGAATCCGATGCTGCCCAGGTCTGCAGCGCTTGGTCCAGGAGGAGCTCCTTGAGGGCGAAACGCAGCACGTGCTTCAGCTGCTGCGCTTGAGTCTGCTTGGCCTTGTGATAGCGCCAGGGGGTAACATTGCAACCCGAGGAAGATGTATCCAGCCAGTTGCCGAGGGCACAGACCTGCGTGGTGTCGAAACCGGCCAAAAAGGAGAGCGTGACCGGCAACTCGCGCCACGACTTGGATGACACCTTGGCTGCATCTCCTGGCTCCAGAAGGGGCGCCATCGCCAAAGAAACCATACTGCGAATCGTCGCGGGGGGGATCTCGAACCCAGTGGACGCGTTGAACCCGACGCACTCGATGTCAGAAGGGGCCAGTCGCCGAGACAAGGCCTCCAAGAACCAAGCACCGAAGTCCAGGTCCTCCACGATGCTGTAACGAGGGCAGGACCAGAGAAACCCCGCTCGCAGGTGGCGTTGCTTGCCACGAAGGCACTCGAAGTAGAGCGTGTGGGAATCCATACGAAGCAGCCGACTCCGCTGGGCATGGATAAGCCGCACAGCCCCTGTGCACTGGCACCAAGTCGCGAAAAACGCCAGGAAGTGCTCGTCGTGGTTGCGGTAGGCGTTGGCCAGGGCCTCTTCAAGCTTCATGAGCATAACAGGCTCAGCAACCGGCGCTTGCTTAGCCCCGAGACCAACACCAGGCGCAGCAGCCCTGCGCATACTCATAGCCAGGCCCAAGTCCACTGAAAAGTGAAGGCGCTTCACCATGAACATAAGAGCTGGGATCACCCTGCTCTTAGCCTTACTTGCTGAAACGAAAGAGGCAGCCGACACTGCCGTAAGGCTATGAACGGTGAGGCCATGCTGGTCACAGTATTGTGCCAGCTCCTCCCAGGTGCGACACACCTTCGCCAGGGTGCTAGACTCTGCACTCCGCAACACGGGGAACAGTACCTGGTCAACAATGCCCTCGATCGCAGCTCCCGACTGGAGCTGTGTGGCATAGCGGCTGCCCTTGACCAGGATGTCCCTGAGAGTGGGACGGTGTGCTGCATTGGCCTCCAACAGAGGTGTAGCACTGGGCTTACCCGGCGTCACTCGCCGTACCCTTGGCACCGGCGGAACGGGAGGCGGAGCTTTCGTCTGCACGGCTGCCACAACCGACGCAACAGTCGGCTGGGCACTATCCGACTGCATATCGTAGATATCACGAACTCGTGCTGCCAGCCCCGATCTGCATTCCTGGGCCGCGACTTCCCAGGCCGCAGCCACTTCTGAACCCGCCGCCTCCAAGGCTTCGGCTCGGCTAGCGAAAAAGAAAGCAAACTCTTCTCGAGTTTCGATCTCATTCGCCAGCATAAACACCTCCATTCTCGCAACACGAGATGAAAAAGGAACTCCTGATCTCAGGTCCAATTTCTGGAGATGATATTTTGGCTTGATAGGAAATGGCAGCGGCATGCATAGGTCAAGCTCATGCTCAAGTGCAACAGCAGTGCCTAACACAGTTCCTACCAAGCAGACAGCACAAGAATGATTTCAGCTCACCAAGCCTGCCCGAAGCACTAAGCTGGGCAATATATATGAATAGTTATATATGTACACAGTACACACACATACACAGTAGGTATATGGGGAGGAGACGAACGGATTCGCCTAAGGACAACCGTCAAAGCCAAGGAGCGAGGCCGCGATCGCCCATTTGCGCATTCCTGGCCCAAGAGAACATCGACGTAGTAAACCTGTACTAAACAACTTCAAGGAGAAGTGCTGCCAGCCAGACACTATGAGAAAAAATCTTCGAGTGAGCATCACCACTGAAAGCCGAAACAGAAAGCCATGCCTGTGATCTCGAGGCCAAGGACTTTCCAGGATGGCAGGGGACATGTCCTACCCGCAGACACGGCCAATTGAATCAGGCCCTACGCTGCTGTGATGAAGCCGTCTCCAAGGCTAGTCGCCAGAGCCTTTACACTCGGAAGTGTTCATTTCCCAGTGGCACGTTGGCCAAACACATGCGGCTACTACAGCCTTGACACAAGTAGTGACATTCTTAGTCTTGGCATGAGGTTGCAGGCTTTGCACCAGACTCGAAGCCTTCAGCCACTAGGCACCGGGGCTCTTGCCTACACTGTTGGTCACCCGGAATCACCCGCGGATACCCACAACATCGCAGCAACACTAAATCGGGGGACGCCCGCGAGGCGGAACCATTAGTAACTTCTTGCAAGTACCCACAAGGCGCCGCCGGAGAGTTGGCATGTCAAGTCGGATATTGACCGTGTGAAGGCAGCACCAAGCTTCAAAAAATGGAAGTTTCATAGACCTTCACCAGCCATCCGTTCTGGCAAACAGCTAAACTAGACACCATCGCCGAACTCGGATGGAGATCACGACTTGAAACTATCAAGATTTCTCTGTTAAAGTTAGTGTATGTGCCAACTCTCCGCACGTATCTACCTGTCAGTGTATCTAGCGTTTTTCACTGGGGATACATCTTTTGCACACTTGCATACCAGCCTCGCAGTCGCGCCAGGGAGCGGGATCGGCTGCTTCCGCAGACCCCGCATCGCCTGCATCTCCTGATTGATGGCGACTTGCTTGCCCTTCAGTCAGGGCCTGGTTCAATTCTGCACAAGTGACTTGCTGCTCGCTTCCTAAAAACCATACTGCCGCGTCGGAAGGACTGACGCAGACACTGCTTGAACAAATCCGCTCCTATGGTCAACGACGTACAAAGACCCATGGTTCGAGGGTTCCAGAGTCAGTCTTGCGAGATGACCCGCGGGTGTTGGGCTGTGCTCTGCGGCTGCCCCCCATGCCCGAGGCGGCCTGGATAGAGAAACAGCCCCTCCTTGCCAGTTGCTTCGCCTGCCGATTCAGACGCATGCGAGGTTTGGAGGAATTCGACAAGAGGCCTGGAGAAATCCATGCGTATTTCACATATTTCGCACTTGGGACATTCTCTGAATACAGGTGAGGCAGATCAGCAAAATGTGTAACGTGGGACTGATTCGTACAGCAGTCACAGTTCCGGCTTTTCCGCTGGCACAACACCGTTTGAGTTGCATTGCACCGGCCTGTCTGACAGCATCTACAGTATCGTAAACTGCCACTATCTGCGACAGCTCTCGCATGCTCTCGCAAGCTCCCTCTGCGAAGTAGATTCTGTCTGCGGATGTCGGCCTCGGAAGTACATCACACTGTGGAGCTGCCCAGGCCGCGCCAGGAAGTCCAAGGCGGCCTCGCGGCACGGCTTCTGACCTCAGGGGCGGCCGTTCCGCAGCGTTCCGGCGGCCGGCCCAAGCCGTTTTGAAACCTGAAATCCCTGCCGTCTCTGAGATACGGAGCACACGTTGCGAAGTCCAGCCTCCCCGCTCTCTCGGCGTGAGCACCACCTCATAGGACTTCGACGACCGGAGCTGCACCGAGTCTCCGTGGCCTCGGACCGGCTTTGAGCAAAAATGACCGCATAAGGAAGATCTCCGGCACATTCAAGGCCCAGTGGACTGCTGTGTTGGTGCTTCTTAAGGTTCTTCGTTGTCCGGGTGCCTGGAATGGGCACATACAGCCGAAAACTTCAAGCCTCTCGAGGCCTTGCCTTTTTGCTGCCGCCTTGCCTCCGAGCCCCCACAACTACACACCAAAGGACACGCCAGCTTGGCAAAGGCCAGGCCACGCAGGTCGATTTTCTGGTTCTGGTCTGTGCGCAGCTCCAGGACGTAGCCCGAGACCCAGGCCTGGACCCAACACTTGTGCCATGATGTGCCTTGCAGCCTGTTTTGCTATGCCACAGTACACCGGCATTTCCGAGGCCAGCGCATGGCTGGCAAACACCAGGATCCTGTCGTCAAGGCTTCGTACTCACAGGGAAATTAAGAGAAAGTGCTCGGAAAGCTGGCTCGGAATTCAATAAGACCACTACTGAATCACAACACCATCTAGTTGCAGCGAAACTCGTCTGGTCAGCGAATGCCTTGGCAACCACTCGCGTGGTACCCCGAAGGCCGCGAAGTAATTGTCGTGGGCGACCTGCCGCGGTGCATGTTGCAATGTCCCGTGCCACATCGTGCCAATCCCCAACGGTCCTGGTTGATTGCAAGTCCTGCTGAAAACCTTCTAACAAACATTGACGATGAATCAAGAACTGGCTGGGCGAGCACAGGAGACGTGACTGGCCATCTCTCCCACAGTGTTTTCTTGCAAGGGTTTGCCTCAAACTCAGAAGCCCATACTTGTTGGTCTGGTAGCCGAGCCTGCTGCAAGATTGCCCTCTGTGCCGGCATGCCACGACCGAAGACCTCTGGCTGGAGGGCGGAACGCAGCGTTGAATGAGACTGGGCCTTTCTTCGTATGTAAATTATGGGCTACAGCTTAGCCTGCAGCACTGATCAACGAATAAGCCAGAACTTGGATGGCCGATGATCGACTCTCAGAAGAATTGAAAGGCGAGACAGAGATGCGGTTGTGGAAAGAATGGCCGTCGTGAACAAGAGCAGGGTAAGACTGGCCCTGTGCTCGTACTATGCTCCACAATTCGGGTGGCACTACCAAAGGGTGAGCTGTCGGCGTGCCCGGAAGCTCTGCCGCTATCGGTGCATACATTAACAATGCAGAGCCGCTCCCGTGGCTTACCTCTTTGAAAAGGGGTTGCACAGGGTTTCGGCAAGGCCGGAGCACATCCAAAGGCAGGTGGAACGATGTGACGTTTTTGCGTGTGGCACCACATCTTGGCGGACTTCCCACCACGCAAGAGCTATTTCTATGTTCTGCACTGCACCCAGAACAGCAGCCCCCTCAAAGCCAACAAGAGGTTAACCGCGCTCGTTCTTAGGTCAAGCTAGTCGGGCAGATTCTCCGAACAATGTAGATTTCCATGTGCAGCAGCTCAGGTCACGTTGATTCGACGAAGGCGCGAAAACACCCGGTTTCAAGATCAGAAAGAAACACGCTTGACAAAGGTGGCAGAGGTTCGTACAGTTTAAGCCTGGCCTGGAAAGACTCCGAACGAAGCCATGTTGAAAATGTGTCTTCAGGCCCAGGCACCGAAGCCGCCAGCCAGTTCTCCTGGCCGCCGGCGTCCAACTCAAAGAACCTTTCCGTGAGAAGCGTCCCATCGCTGTTCAAAGTTCCAAGAACACGTGCGACCAGGGCCGTCCGGGTTGCATGAAGGGAGGTCTGAAATTGCAGAGCTTGCAGAGGCTTGGACGAAGTTCGATGAACCTTGCGTTCATGTTCTGCAGCTTCGGAAGCCCGGACAGGCGTGAAACTTGTGAACATCTTAAAGAAAGGATGGTGCGTATGTGTATGTGAAACAACAATTTCGACAGATTTACACCTCGCGGTCTCCCATAAGAGATTGCGCTTGACGACGGCCGAAGCACTCCATGCGCATCTCGTCAGACAGGCAGGTCGGCACATGAAACCTCGGGGAGAGAGAGACACCGCCACAGATCGTTGTGTCTGGAAGAAAAATCCATGCAAACAAAAATCTGGCAATGTCGCGAGGGTCTCAGCAGCCACGGGCTGCAAACGCAATGGAACAGCTTCAGGCATCCCAAATGGCAGGCAGCTAGGACACGAAAGACGAAACACCTAAACACCTCACACAAGCCACGCACTGCAACAATGCATGGATGCATCGCACCAAAACAATGCCGACTCCGCAAAATGCAAGACAGAAGCCAACCGAAACCAGAGAGGGTCGACTCATGACAAGTCGCTCGGTGCAGCTTCCATAGGCGAGGGCATCAGCAACGAGGGCACCGCGCGTGCCTGCATCATCAACACATTGACAAAGCGATGTCTGCGCAAATCGCGGGTAACACAACAGATGTCCACTACGCTACATGAACCCAGAACAGGCTCGGCTCACCACTCCTCCTGCCCTGGCTGCCCTGGACACTACCGCTCAAGCTGAAGGCCAGTGATAGGGGCTCTCGCCGCTCTCGCCTTGGTAGAATTGAGCTCGCAGGTCCTTCGCTTGGCCGTTGCAGAGTCGCAGCGTGTGATGACATTCCTGCGGAAGAGGGAAGGTGCCTTCCGCATGCTCGCTTGGAGCTGTTGAAGCATTGAAGCCTTGTCCCCCGCGCTAAACCTGAGCCTGAGCCTGAGCCTCGGAGCTGAGACCCTTTGGTAGCCTCGGCAGGGAAGGGAGCGAGCCGTGCCGCGAGCAGAAGCCATCGAGACATCTGGCCATGTCGAAACTGCGCAGCAGCGTTCAGACTTGTTCTGGCCTGGCTGTTCCATCCCAAGCTTCCTTTCTAACGTAATGACGTGTGCGAATGTCACAGCTTGAGCCCAAGCCAGTTGAGGTGCTAAAACCGATATCCCAAGACTTTCATTCGCAGCGCAATGCTCACAGCCGTCTTCGTGAATCCTATCTCAACAAGTACTTATCATCTCTGATAGGAAGGCCTGAGCTAAGGCAGCGAAGGCAGTGCAGGGTGAGGGGTCTGTCGCAGCTGATGTCTCAGTACGCATGTCACTGTGCAACAGGCCAAGTTGCCGCTGGAGCTTGAGCTGCTGCTGCTGTCGCTCTCGAGGACCTCCACCCCGAGTTGCTGAACGCAGATTCCGATAGGTGAACCAAGCAACATGAGAGATCGGCTTGGGGAAGGCAATATCTGCACGCTGTCTGCACGAATGCTCAGTTTCCAGACAACTTCTTCGAAGCAACAGCCAACTTAATCGAAACGGTTGTAGAACGGTCGCAAGACGCCTGACACTGCGTGGAAGACATGCAATCATGCCTGTGCGGGTACGCCTTCTCCGGTCTTTGCACGGCACCCGGCCTGAGCGTTGCGCTCTGCCTCACGGCGGCCGAAGACGCCTTGGCGCGCTGCCAGGCAGTTCGGGAGCTCAAAGTTCAAAGTGGGTTCAGATTTCGAACCGCCTCAGTAGCTCCAAAGTCAAGCAGCCCAAACATAACCAAGGCTTTCCGGGAATGCCGAGATTTCTTCGTGGAATCGCCCAAGGGCCTAACCCCAGCTCCATGTTCGCATGGAACGATGTAGCGGCCAGCCAGAGCTTTAATGAATCAAATCAAGATCAATGACGCGCGCGTCGAGAATCTGCATCTCCAACACTCCGCAAACTTCTGAGCAAGAGCAGAGCGGCTGTCACTGGCATTGCCGTACGTCGCAGAAAAAATCTGACTGTTATCAGTATCAGGAGAAGTTTTACTTTTTCACTGTGGTGTCATCCGAGGTCCAGGCGTGGGTTGAGGCTGGCCGCTGCAGCTCCGGGACTGCTCCTTGAACCGAAGTGCACTCGGACTGTTCAGTGTCGGTCCTGCTGGCTCTTCTTGGAACATCGGAACCTGTCGAAGGTGCGTCAGCTTCACATCTTGCTGTCTGACCTATGCACTCTCAGGTTCCTCATACTAGGATTGGTTATCCATCCAAGAACTATGCTGCGAGTTTAAATTCGGCCTGAACGGCAGGCTAGGCTTCAAGCTCGAGGATCACTTGTCTGAAAACCGATATACGAAAACTTCTGAAGTGTACGTCGCCCCTCAACACGAAGAAGCCGCAGCAAGTTGAATCATGGAAAGCTCATCCACCGGGTCCCGCACGGCCGCAGAAAGCTTGAAGGCACGGCCTTTCCAAGGATGTGTTCCATGACGGTCCGTGACGCTTTGGCTGAGCGCAGTTCTTCACGAAGATCATCCCACGTGACTATGGTACGCCTGCGAACTCATGAGATACAGTTAGGCGAAGGCTAACCGTGCTATGGGGTACCTGGAGCGTATCTGGGGATTCAGGGGAAGGGACTTTGCAGAATGTGGGTGCCGCAGAGCATTCTGAAAGCTGAAAAGCTCTCTCCCGGCGGTCCGAGCCCTGAAACCCTGACATCCGCGCAGCCGGCACATTTTGTCTTCCCTTGGAGCCAGAGGCCGAAGTCTTGCGTAAGGCTCCGGAAAGACGAGGCTCTCCTGGGCTCCGAAGAGACATCCGAAGAGACTTTGATAATGTCTGAGTTCTACCGCTGCGATTCTGAAGGGCAGGTCGGAACCGCAGGGCGACAGGCTGGCTCCCCAAAATACTCTGATGTCTGTAGGGGAAAAAACTGCTAAATCCCTTTCCATTAGTCCAAGGTACTTGCTTCGCCGTCCCCAGCCCAGGCGTTCCAGCCACTCCTAGCAGTGACGATTCGACGAAGGCACTTAGTCTTGAGACGCAGGCTCCGAGCGTGTAGGGTACCGGTACATGGTTTCGGCGCGCGCACTCGGACAGGCCAGGCGAGATTCTCGGTGCTTACGTGGAACCCACGTTTTGAAGAGGAGTGACCGAGTCAATCATATCTAGTTGAAGTCATCCCAACTCAAGATGGGCTCTATGACCTGCGGAACCCGACGGGCTTTTTTGGGCTTAGAATAGGTAACCGCAAGCAGTAGCATGACATGAAAGGGCGGGATGCCAAGATATCTTTAATGGAGTTTAGAGGTGACTTTATCCGAGACGGCTGTTTTTAAAGAAACACGTACTCCCTGGTTTGCATCCCGATGCCTACATTGGCGGATCTCTGCAAACTCAAAATCACGTATTAACACGAGTTTTAGCTCCCGCAGAACTTCCGAAAGCTCCTGGAACGCGCTGCGGCGCGACGGCACTTGGCCTCCCACGGACTAAACAACTCCCGCGGACCAAACAACAAGCTACGCTGGGCAGCGCCGACCTGCGCTGCCAGGTAAGCATCGGTTCACTTGTGGCTGGCATGGTCATGATCATGCAGGATGTGCGAGGCAGATGGTCACCAAAGCTTCGACAACAGCAAGGCTCAAATGGCTCGAAGGCCACCGAATCCTCCCGACCTACTGCGTAGCCACAGTAGCTCCCGAAGAGGGCGCCCACCAGATGCGAAGCATGGGAGATGCCATCCTCGGCCCATCTCAAGCATGGCAGGCAGATGAGTCTCGAGCTTTGCTGCAGAACCACTCGCAGAACCGATATCCAAGAGCGGCTTCGCTGCGACACAGAAGTCAACCCGGGGCAGCTCACAACAAATGCTACCTGTCAAACTTCCCGGAACCTGCACACCTTGCAAACCAGTGTCTGCTTTTCCGTGGAGAAGAGGACCGATCTCACCTGCAAGCCTTAGGCCCAGAGATCTTCCCTGATGCATTCTCTGGGAGTCTTTGCAGGACACAAGGTTCTCAAAGGACGAGGGGCCACAACACCATAGTCAGCACAGCCGTGGCAGGCACGGCCTTGTGGCCGCCAGTGAACCCAGCGAAGCCTAGGATTGCAACAGCATCCACAAAGGCTGTAAACGCACCGTGGGCCTCGTTTGAGCCATACAACGGTTTGCAATGCAAACCTGTCTTTGATTCAGCAACCAGTTTCGACCCCAATGGCCGCTTGGCGAACGACATTTAGGTCCACGCAACTTGTACCCTGCATGCAAGTGCCACATGGCCTGTAACATGCAATCCCTGCAACCTCTTCCGTCGTTCAAAGTCACCGCGCGTCGAAGAAATCAATGTCTGCGGGAGCTGCAGTAGAAGCAAGCAGTGGTGGAAGCGGCAGCGGCAGTACTCGCCACCGTAGCAATAGAGGAGGAGGAGGAGGGGGAGGAGGAGGAGGAGGAAGAGGAGGAGGAGGAGGAGGACGGGGGATGGAGTAGGAGCAGCGAAAGCAGTAGCTTAAGATAGCTTAGCAGCAGCGGCAGTAGCTACAGCCGTAGCCTTTTGTCGTAGTAGTCGTCGTCGTGGTCCTATGTGGTATTAGTAGGCGTCGTCATCGTCCTCCTCTACTGCTGCAGCCACCTATCTGGTCCGGGATTTGGCTGCAAACCCCATGACACGCTTTCTCGTTAGGCGTAACGGCCGCTTTCGGGCTCTGGGACCAAGCCTTATCCGTCTCGCAGGAGTCGACGCCCCCTCTACGATGATGTTGCAGGCCGTTGGGACGAACGGCATGTTTGTCAACCCTCGTTGACGGCGCAAGGGACAGGGCAGGTGCACAACATGAGAAGAACTTCTCCGAGCTGCCGTTCAGAGTGATCAACGCAAAGACATTTCCTGACAGGCCGAAGATCTGCGCGTTGCGCGGGCCAAGAGTCCTGAAAGCTAGATTCAGCTAGATACCCGATACCCCTGAAAGGGATCATTTGCCACTATTCGCTGCAACATGGGCAAAACATTCCGGACGTGAGAAGGTAACTGCAGTTCGGATCACTCCCGACGCAAGGCTTGCACGGTTCGAACGAGGAATCGGAATCGGAGTAGTTAGCACCAAGTTTTCTCGGAGGCAAGAGCCTAGCATCTTCAGATTTACCTACCAGTGCCTCGCATCTTCCCAACTGCAACCGGAGAGCCCACGATGATCAACTTCACACATCGCAATTTCAATTATTCCCACACCTTCGACACTCCAATTCAACCAGCTTCTGGAATCCGCGCCCTTCCTCTGCACAAACGCCAAGGATCCAGTGGCTGATGGCCACCGCGACGCTGCAGCAGACAAGCACGCGGAACCTCAGATTCATCTGTTTCTGAAGCAGGCTACACGACCCACCCTAGCCTCGGAAAACCATCATCACCGTGCTTGACATCCGACACGAGGCGAGTTTGAAATAAGTTGGAAGCGAAACCTTGCAGGTTCTTGCATATCTTCAATTGTTCCGCTTGTGGGTCAGCAACTCACTCTCTGACTCCAGCTGCAAGCACATCCCGCCTGAAGTGGGTCAGAGGAGAATGAGATCCAGAGTCGAAAGCCTCAACATGTAACGTGCAATCCCATGATTTGGGGCAAGTGGCACGGCTGTGGAGCCATAGTGCCGCTCACCTAAGCACAGATAAGCTGTATGACCATGGCATCCTACCACGTCGTCCAGACAAGCGGTCAGATGCCCATTTAAACGCCGAACTCGCACTGCAAAGTCTCCTGGACACCTAGGATCACCGTGTACTTCAGGTGAAAGCGGCCTGCACTGATTCCGCGCATCTTCATCCCGCATTAGGATGTGGGACCAGTATGGACCAGTGGCAAGGTGGCCCCACTAAGCAGAGCAGCATGAGATTGTGCTGGAGGTGGTCCCAGCCTGAATCCCACAAAGGTTCCAAGGAGGAGGGCAAGGCCGCGCAGGGTCCGCTGCTTTCTCGGCCCAATTACATAAGAATCGTGGATTGCTTTTTCAACTGGCCTTTTCTGGGTTGTGTTGTTTGAAACTTCAGGTGCTGGCTTCAGGCTTCGGCATTCGATTTGTTCACAGCGCCGCCATGTATGGGCTTGCCGCAACTGCCAAGTAAGGCGAGGATTCTGAAATGAGGGAACCAAGTGAAAACTGAAGAGAGTGAACGACCGCCCGGCCGAATCAAACTTTTCAAGCAGGAAGTAATCCTGATGAGGGCCATGTAAGGCGGATATCTCTATCCACGGCAAAGGACACGGCCTCACCCGCCCACCGGCGCGCCTCCATGGCCGAGCGAATGGCTGAAAAGCCGCCAGGCAGTCAGAGGGCTGGACAGGGAAGTTGCGCGCCACGGGTGCCTGGTTTGCAGCAAACCGCTGAGCGGGCCATGTTAAAGAGTGATGCATCTATCAGGTCAGGTTCAAATTCAGAGACTCCTCTCACTATGCCAGGCTGCCATGATGTACCACAGCGATTCCGCTACGTTGGACATAGCTGCAGCTACATGCGATGCAGTCTTGAGGCACGTGCAGGACACCATGTCTATTACCTAGCCAGATTTTGCGCACATGCTCTCAAGAATTCATCACATTTCCAAGAAGCCAGGCATAGTAGCGGCTCAAGGCAGAGGGCTCCATCTGGGTGTGGAGGTAGACCTGACGTTCCAAACCAAAAGCCCAACAGGCCCGGATTTCGCTTGGTGGTCCAGCGACACTCTGCAATCGTGAAACATCTCGTGGTCTGTTTGCTTCTTGGATTTCGGGAACCGGGAGTTGGGGATACTTTCAGGCTTCAGGCGCTTGTTTCCTGCATAGGCCTGTGCCTTCGAGCTTACAGGGTGGCAAATGTGTTGGGGCAGCTAGGGACAGACATGGCACTGTCAAAACATGTACAAAGGAACAAATCTGCTACGAAATCCTACGAATCAGCGAAAGATGCGAAAGTAGTGCGCGCTCGCAGTGGGCAACCTGGGGTGAGCAGAACCTCCGAATGCCGCCGAGCGCACCAACAAGCACAGCAGGGTGGTCGCCAGCACCACGGGGCTGTCCAGGGCGATGTGGGACGCCATTGGTTGAAGCTCACTCTCGTGAAGAGTCGAGAGTTTTGTGGAAAGCCTGCTCCCACCAGTCCGTCATCAGGGCTGAACCATATTGAAGCTCGTGTCGTGAAGGCTGAGCTTTCTTCGTGCCTGAACGTGTCAACCAGGACTAGGCCTAGCGTCCGAAGTTGAAAGCAGTGACCGCTTCGACAGGAGTTTTTGAGTTCGCAGCTTTCGCAAAGATACTGGCAGCATGCTCACATGCGAAGGGAAGATACAGACGCAGGGTTTTCGGATTAGCTGAAGAGTGAGCATACCGGAACCACTCATGGCATGGTTGCAAGCATCTCAACCGTGCATCGCTTAAGTCTCATGAACGGGGGTCGCTATCTCCGGGTGCAGTCGAGGGCATAGGGCTACACAGGCT